TATACCAAGATAACAGGAGACAAAAATGGAGAAAGGGACAATGTGCTAAACCAAGAGCTATTCATTCTTTCTCTTACTTATTCAACAAATAGCTATATCTTTTTTTTTTTTTTAATCCTCACCCAAGGACACTTCTCCATTTTTTGTTCAGATAGAGTTGGAGGGAGAGAGAGAGAGAAACATCGATGTGAAAGGGACACATGGAGTGGTTGCCACCCACACGATCCAACCAGGGCCAGGGACAAACTGCAACGGAGGTACGTGCCCTTAGCAGGAACCAAACCCGGGTCTCTCTGGACCGCAGGCCGATGCTCTAACCGCTGAGCCAAACTGGCCAGGGCACAAATAGATATATCTTTAAAAATATCTGTGGATGTTGGGCCACGTGCTATGCATGAGAGATACAACAGTGAAGAAGGTGGGTGAGACCTTAGTTCTTTGGGCTGCATGGTCAAGCAAGGAAGAATAATATTGTGTAACAAGCAAGTTATTGGTGTGAACAGAAACACAGAAGAGACTTAACTATTAGATGAAAACTCCACCTTCCCCTTTCATTAACAAATGAAGGTTCCTCTGTATCACAGGGAAAGCATGGGCCTTTTATGGTCTGTAGGAAAATTTATTCTTCTCCTCCAATTGCCATCAGCTTTACAGGGCAATAAATCAATCCTGGTAGAAGGTGGCTGTCAGTCTAGTCACCTTTGTCCAGAGTCCTTAAGAACCACCTAGGAATCGACACAGCAAATACGAAGATACGGCTATGAGGTGAGTGCCTTTTCCCACGCAGGTGGTGCTTTGAACAAGTCATGTCCCTTTCTTCTTGTCAATGTTCCTGTTTCCTTCTCTGCTAAATGATCTGAACAACCCAGACTTTCCTCTGGATTTGATATCTTCTTTCCTTCACATAGACTATGAGGAGAGGGGATGAGATGGTGCGTGGAATCACGGGCTGCCTAGAGACGGGGTGTGTGTGTGTTTGGGGGACAGATGGGGAGGGGCTAATGTGTAGTTTCTCTCTCACTGGGAGCAGCCAAGAAGAAGTAAGTGGACGGGGTCCTTCTGGTAACTGTCTGAAAGCAGCATGCATTGAGTGTTAGGTGAAGGCACCTTTTCAGACTGAGAAGAAAGTGACTATACAATTAGTAGTGTTTTTTTTTTAAGTAATAACCTGGTTTTTAATTATTCTAAAATTTTGTTTGATTCCGAAAAGTGGCTTTTGGCAAGGAGGGTTTCTAAGTAGGGAAGAATTTCTACCTTTAGGAATCTCTACTCTGAGTTACTTTTTAGCTCTATGTGGCTGGTTACTGATTCTAAAGGATGTCTATAACAATCAACCCTGTGGTTAGGAGGGCTGCTTCCCTGTTAGCTTACAAACAGTTGATTATAAAACAAGGTGCCTAGGACCCAGCCCAAAGGTTATTTTGCCCAGTTCAAACATTCAAAGGCAAGATGTAGAAGGCAGTTTATCTACAATGGCTTTTTTGGCTCCATTTTAAAATGGTCCCACTATATCAGCACTATCAACTTTGATGTAGGAATTTTATAGGAATATAATAATATGATATATGTCTTATGGGGATTAGTGTAAACCTTTGAATAATTTAGACTAGAGGAGAGACACCTAGTAGGTAGATTTAGGCTAATAGGAAGAAATAGTGACTATACTCCAATTTCAATCCTACCTCCCCACCCCCACCCTTTGCAAATTGTTTGTAGATCCTTGCTTCTCACCCTCATTTTAAAATAAAGGAGCTTCTTTTCTTGACTTACATATTAACCTAAAGGTTGCCTTCATTAAAAAGTGAAGCTATCCATACATGAAAATATTTTAAAATGGTCATGGCATTAGGCTGCGTTTCAGATGAACAAGGGTGCAGGGAAATAGAAATCGAAAGAGGAGGTGACATTTTTAAAGAGAGAGAGAGAAAACCATTTTCATCCCCATGGGTTTGTAGATCATCACTACATAAATGTGGGTGTGGTATGGCCGGAACATAGGAGAGAGCCGAGGGTGGGCTGCTGGGCAGCGGGAGGTGTCATGATGACCTTGGATTACAAAGCTGCAGAGTTAATATTTTACCTGGAGAACCACTGAAGACTTGAATAGAGGAGAACCAACTGACCTAGTTTGTGCTGTAGAAAGATCAGTTCAGCTGCAGTGTGTTTAATGTATTCTAGGAGCAGAAGGGGTGGAAATGGGGTTACCTGGTCTCTGGCTGTGGGAAATGAACAGAAAGAGAGGAGTCAAAAAAACTACCTAGGTTTTAAAGAAATCAATATCTTCTTTTCCTCAAGGTATGAATTATTTGAGGAGTAGCCAATCTGGCAGAATTAGCGCAAGTTGGGACTGGGTGTTGGGAGAGAAGATTTCATGTTTAAACATGTTGAATTGGGGTCAGTCTGTGGGACATCCAAGGGAAACATCCACTAAGCAGCTGAGCATAGCAATCTAAATCTCTGAGCTAGAAATCCAGGTCGGATTGACCTCAGTTGTTACACGAGGTCTTGTGACTGGTGAAGATTGCTCAAGGAGAGTGAGGAAGTGACCTATGAGAAGAGCACAGGGAATATCAACGTTTAATGAAATAGGGGACCACAAGGAAAACGGAAGGGGAACCAGAAAAGTAGGTGAAAACCACCAAGATGGAGTATTATCAAGGAATACACAGGTGGAAAATTTGAAAGAGGAAGGCGTGGTTGGTATGCTAGCCGATTAAGACAGTGCCCATTGTATTCAGCAGCTAAATCCCTGGTGACCTTGGCCAGGGCAGTTTCAGGGGAATACAAGAAACAGAAGGCAAGCCAGTGCCATATGGGGAAGCTGGTGCAGACAGGGTGGAGTCATCTCTTTGGAAAGGGAGCAATGAAAGGGGAAAGGGAGTCATGGCACATAGACAAGAACACCGAGTCATCAAGAGATTTTAGGGGGACCTTGGATATAGTTATGAGAAGAAAAAAGCACATTTAGAAGGGGAGTTTGGAAATGTAGGAAAGAAGAAGGGTAATTGGTGAACAAGATTTAAAAAACAAATGCTAATAATAAAATTTATTTTCTTTTTTAAGATATTTTTTTATTTAGCTGGCATACAGTCTTACATTGGTTATATTAGTTTAGGTGTACTAATATGGTGATGTGGCATTTTGATATCTTACAACGTGATCACCCCACTCATTCTAGTAATCCTCTGTCACCCTGTAAAGTTATCACAATATTATTGAACAAGATTTCTGAGAAATGCCAAGGCTGTCAGGACTAGAGAATAGATAACAGGATTATGCTTAGATAAGAAGAGGGAAACCTCTTCCATTGGGAGGGAAAAGATAAGAATTTGCCTAGATGGGGAAAAATTTTATACAAAAGCACGGGTTGAGAAGCAAAGAGATAAATTGTTTCTGCAAAATAGTTCTTTTGTTTGTGACGTTGGAAATGATATTGGCTGAGGATAAGAGTGTAGGAGACAGTGGTTGGGGCTTGAAAAGAAAGATCATGCTTGAAATTTCTGCTGTGAAAAATGAGAGGCCCTGGCAAGACTGTGAGTCAGCTTGTGGGCCCAGAGTATTTTGGGGGATTATGAACCCAGTGGCAACTACACTGGGCCAAGCGCATGACCCAGAAAGCAGATGTTTGCCTGGATGGTTTCATTGGATAGATGTAGGTAGCAGACGAGGTAGCAAGGAAGATGAGAGCAATAGACATTAAAGCTATGTCACTTATGGAAGGAAACCAGGAGGGACTAAGACTCTAAAAGGAAATGAAAGAGAACAGAAGCCTCGGTACGATCAAAGAATAAAGTAACAATGCAAGGAGAGTAAAAGGACATGAGCTTCTGACAGTAAATGAGAAGCAGAGGTTAAGAGTTCAGAATGGAGCCCGGCTGGTGTGGCTCAGTAGTTGAGCATCGACTCATGCACCGAGAGGTCACTGGTTTGATTCCTGGTCAGGACACATGCCCAGGTTGTGGGACTGATCCCCAGTTGGGGGCATGCAAGAGGCGGCCAGTCAATGTTCTCTCTCATTGATGTTTCTATCTCTTTCTCCTTCTCACTTTCTCTCTCTCTAAAAAAAAAAAAAAGTTCAGAGTGGAAAGGAAGGGTGATACATTCCAGGGTATAGCCAACACATAGGCTGATGGGAATGGAGGGGTGACAGGAGTCACTGAAATTAAAGATGGCACGGAATTGTGAGGCATATATATATAATGTTCTATGTACTATAATTAGCATGGAAGAATTAGAATACCTCCTGAATCTTGCCTCATTTTATAGATAAAGAAACACATCCAAATAGCTAAAAGATCCATCTGTGAATATGAAGACCAGGACAAGAACTGAAGTTGATTTCCCTCCAATATACCAAATACTTAAGAACTTGGGTCTGTGCATGGTCTTCAGGCCTCCTGTGAACGACAAAATCTATATGGGTTTATATGCTGTGAACATACAAGCAAGCATTATGTTGGCGATCAAGAATACATTCATTTATGTTACCAGCTTTTTAAAAGGATAAGTGGCCTCTAAATGGTTTAGCCCCTCAGTATCATGGCATGGGAATTGGGAGAAGAAGGGTTGAATGTAGGTTTTCTACCTTTTATTTCCCTGACTACCCTCCTGTGTACTGCCCAGGGTGGGAGTGAAGATCAAAGTCCATCTGAAAGGGCTTTCTGAGCCACCTCAACCCCTCATCTCTCTCCTGTACTCCATGTTTCTTCTTCCTCTCTCCCTCTAATTCTTCATATCTGATTTTTCCCCCCTTGGACAATATTCAATCCCTCTGCAGACAAAAAGGGCAAGAGCCCTAGAGACATTGGATACATAGACTGGAATTAGAGGGAGACCCTGTGATGTGTGGAAACAAATATTTTCTGCATTATGTAAAGAAGAATGCCAATAATCTAGTCATCTTGTGAAGGAGTTACTGTTCTAATCATGATGCCTGTCTATTCTTTTGGATTGAGGAGACTTTGTGGTTCGCTTTCATCCTGTAATCTCTGTCCACCTAGATGGCGCGGACACTCAGTGTGTTGGAAATCCTTCTCATCGTCTTCTTCCTAATTATATTGGCCGTAGATGTCTTCTTGCTGTTTCTGGTGTCGGAGAAACCTTTAGGTAAGAGAGATGTTCGTGGATGCTGGGTTAGAAGGATTGGTAAAGGAAGTCCCTTCTGGATGCCAAAGAAATCATTTTATTCCTTCACTCCTTGGCTTGACCACTGATGGGTATGTGATTTTTTTTGTGGTGATGGAAATGTCTGAAATTGGATCGTAGTGATTGGTTGCACAATTTCATAAACTAGCAAAAACCAACAATGAATCGTACATTTCAATAGGGCGAATTTTATGGTGTGTGAATTACATCTCAATAAAAACCAACCAAACAAAAAGCAAATGTGTTTAATGCTTAGAGAATGTATACACATGTAGATACCAGCTACTAGTGTTCATTGACGGAAGAAGTGGCTGGAAGTCTGTCACTGACTGCTTCCTTCCTGGAACTGTGATTATGCTACAGATTTTTAACTTTGTTCTTTAATTTCTATGCAGATACTTTATTTACTCCACAATGCCCAACGATCCCTGAATCAGAAAGGATAGACTGTGTACCAGGCCAGATGATGTCAGAGGTCAGAGAAATGGGTTCCCTGCCATTGACCTGCTGGGTTTTATTGGAAAGAAATGAGTGTGTGAAGTGGGGAGAGGGTGGTGATGGAGTGGGTTTTGGGCCTCTAATTTGGAGTTATTTCTTTCTTGTCTTATTGAAATAAACAACAACACTAAGGAGTGAGGGAAGTGGGGAAGGGGAGAGGGAAGAGGAGGAGGAATTAACAAGAGTGTTGGCCTATTGGGTCTAAAGCCCAGAGGGGAGGGTTATTCCAAGGGTAGCTAAGGAAAGGTTGTTTTAGGGCTAGACCATCTCTTGAGAATAGAGCCCATCAAGCATATATGGATAACTGAGTTACTTGGTGAACTTGTTACAGCAAGAGCCTTCTGGAATTGTAGTGTTGGCAAGAGATCCCATGTGCTAAACATCATAGGTTTTCTCTCTGAGTAGCTCCTACAAGAATATCAACTATTTGAACCCTGCTAGTTTGGTTAAAAACCTTATAATAAAGGTTGTTTACACTTAGATTTTATTCCGTTACTTCATATTTTATATTCTTTATCTTGTAATATCCTATTGGCATATTAATAAGTACTGCATTAAATTTTAGGTTAAAATTAGGCAATATTGACATCTCAAGAATTTTGAACCATCCCATTTTAAAGACATAAAAAGTATCTCCATTTTAACTCGTTTTTCTTAATACCCATTTTATTACATATGCATTATGAAGTTTTTTTCTAGATATTTCCATATGCATCATTTCTATTGTAAATACAATCCAGTGTATTTTCTAAGTGGTGCTAGTCTGTGTTATTGTGATGACATTGAACATGAAAAAAAGAAGAATATACAGAGTGGGGGCAAAAGTAGGTTTATAGTTATTCTTATGGGTAATCACACAATAATTAATAAATAAGAATATAAGAACAAACTGTTACTCGTGCTCACAATTGTAAACCTACTTTTGCCCCACCTTGTATATCTCTCGAAGGTTTGACTTTGGTTTCTGGGGTACTCGTAATGTCTGAAAACTGACATTGGAATGTTAGGGCAGATTGTATGCATAAATAATTGTGTTTTCCTGAGTGCACTGGATTTCTTGTCTTAATTTTTATAGAGGTCTGCAGACTTTGGAACAATTTATGGTAATGAAACTAAACTTTTGGACTGTACAGACCTCAGTTTCAGAGGGACTTAATGTGAGAACTTAATGTGTGCCTCAGACTTAGGAAAATCAGTTATCCAGCACCCCCAAACTCTTTCTCCATGGATCCCCTCCAGCCTTTTGTGGTCTGAAGAGGATGGGCCAGGAATATAATTTGCATATATGGAGAATAAATGAATACATCTGAGAAGATTTTATAGTTACAATTTGAGTGCTCTGTTTATAATAGGCATGGAACATTGACTTACATTATAGTCCTGTCATGGTTTCTCAGAGCAGTTACATCAGATTCTAGCATCTAAAATGCTTGTCAGTACCATACCTTTTCCAAATGAATGGTGTTGTGACATACTGTTTGGGTATTTTTATTTTTATTTTATTTTATTTTATTTTTTAACATTCAGAAATTGTTTGCATTTTTATTTTATTTTATTTATTTATTTATTATTTATTTATTTATTTATTTTTATTAATTTATTTTTGTTACAGATGTTTCTTCTTTTTCTCCATATTGACTTCCTCCTCCCTATCCCCTCCCACCCCATCCTCAGTTTTGTTGTCTATGTCCATCAGGCATATAAGTTCTGTGGTTTATCCCTTCCCTCCCACCCCCGCTTCTGAGGAATGTCAGTCTGTACCCTACTTCTCTGTCTCTGGGTCTATTTTGTTCATCAGTTTGTTTAGTTTATTATATTCCAGAAATAAGTGAGATTATGTGATATTTGTCTTTCTCTGCTTGGCTTGTTTCGCTTAGGATAATACTTTCCAGGTCCCTCCATGTCGTCTCAAAGGATAAGAGATCTTTCTTTCTTACAGCTGCATAGTACTCTATTGTGTATATGTGCCACTGCTTTTTTATCCATTTGTCTACTGATGGACACTTGGGCTGTTTCCAGATCTTAGCTATTGTAAATAGTGCTGCTATAAACATAGGGGTACATATATCCTTTCTGATTGGTGTTGCAGGCTTCTTAGGGTATATTCCTAGAAGTGGGATCAATGGGTCAAATGGTAGTTCAATTTTTAATTTTTTGAGGTAACACCATAGTGTTTTTCATAGTGGCTGTACCAGTCTGCATTCCCACCAGCAGTGTACTAGAGTCCCCTTTTCTCCACACCCTCGCCAGCACGTGTTTGATGATTTGTTGATGGCATCCATTCTGACAGGTGTGAAGTGATACCTAATTGTTGTTTTAATTTGCATCTCTCTGATGATTAGTGACATTGAGCATTTTTTCATATGTCTCTTGGCCATTTATATGTCCTGTTTGGAGAGGTGTCTCTTTAGGTCCTCTGCCCATTTTTTAATTGAGTTCTTTGTCGTCCTTTTGTTGAGTTGTGTGAGTACTCTATATATTTTGAAAATTAACCCCTTATCTGATGTATCATTGGCAATGATGTTCTCCCATACAGTGGTTGCCTTTCCATTTTGATGGTTGTTTCTTTTGCTGTGCAGAAGCTTTTTAGTTTGATGTAGTCCCATGTGTTCATTTTCTCCTTTGTTTCAGTTGCCTTAGGTGATGTATCAGTGAAAATTCTACAATGTATGATGTCTGAAATTTTGTTGCCTGCATTTTCTTCTAGGATTTTTATGGATTCACAAGTCACATTTATATCTTGTATCCATTTTGAGTTTGTTCTTTGTGTATGGTGTAAGTTGGTGGTCTAGCTTCATTTTTTGCATGTAGCTGTCCAATTTCCCAACACCATATATTGAAGAGGCTGTCTTGATTCCACTGTATGCTCTTGCCACCTTTGTCAAATATTAATTGAGCATATTGTCTTGGGTCAATTTCTGGGTTCTTGATTCTGTTCCACTGATCTATGTGCCTGTTCTTGTGCAAGTACCAGGCTGTTTTGATTACAGTGGCTTTGTAGTATAACCTGAAATCTAGTAATGTGATCCCTCCTACTTTGTTCTTCCTTTTCAAGTTTGCTGTGGCTATTTGGGGCTTTTTTTGGTTTCATATAAACTTTTGGAGTATTTGTTCTAGTTCTGTGAAGTACATTGTTGGTATTTTGATGGTGATTGCATTGACTCTGTACATAGCTTTGGGTAGTATGGACATTTTAATGATGTTAATTCTTCCAATCCATGAACAAGGTTTATGCTTCCACTTTTTTATATCTTCCTCTATTTCTTTTTTCAATGACCTGTAGTTTTCTGTGAAGAGATCCTTTACTTCTTTGGTTAAGTTTATTCCTAGGTATCTTAATTTTTTTTGCCACGATGGTAAATGGGATTGCTTTTTTAGTTTCTCTTTCTGTGAGTTCATTGTTGGTGTATAAGAATGCCATCGATTTCCTGACATTAATTTTGTACCCTGCTACTTTGCCAAATTCATTTACTAAGTCTAGTAGATTTTTTATAAAGTCTTTAGGGTTTTCTATGTACAATATCACGTCATCTGCAAATAATGACAGTTTCACTTCCTCCTTTCCAATTTGGATCCCTTTATTTTTTCTTCTTGTCTAATTGCTGTAGCTAAGACTTCCAATACTATGTTAAATAAGAGTGGTGAAAGTGGACATACTTGTCTTGAACTCATTCTTAAGGGAAATGTTTTTAGTTTTTGCCCATTCTGTATGATATTGGCTATAGGTTTTTCATATATGGCCTTTATAATGTTGAGATATGATCCCTCTATTCCCACATTGCTGAGCATTTTTGTCAGAAATGGATGCTGGATTTTGTCGAATGCTTTTTCAGCATCTATTGATTTGATCATATGGTTTTTATTTTTCATTTTGTTTATGTGATGTATCACATTTATTGATTTGCAAATATTGTACCATCCTTGCATCTCTGGAATGAATCCCACTTGGTCATGGTGGGAAATTTTTTTGATATATTGCTGGATCCGATTTGCTAATATTTTGTTAAGGATTTTAGCATCTGTATTCATCAGGGATATTGGCCTGTAGTTTTCTTTCTTTGTAGTGTCTTTATCTGGTTTTGGAATTAGGATTATGCTGGCCTCATAAAATGAGATTGGAAGTTTTCTGTCTTCTTGGATTTTCTGAAATAGTTTGAGAAGAATGGGTCTTCTCAAACTAATGGATCTTCTTTGAATGTTCGGTAAAACTCTTGTTTGGGTATTTTTAAATTACAAAATCTGTATGGATGCATGCTTTTATTAAGAAAGATTCAGACACTCTCGTGATTTACAGAATGAAATGGAAATGCCCTCTTCATTCATTAAGCTTCCTCTGTACTTCCAAATGCCCTCCCAAGAGTCAATCAGTAGCTTGGGGTGTATTCTGCTCTTGGTCTTCCTGTGCTTTTGCATATAATTATATATTTTACATGTATTTATATATATTTTTTGTTTAGTTTTAACACAGATTTGATTACACTATATATATTATTTTATAACTTGTTTTTTTTTTTTTTTTTAAATTTGGGGTATTTAACTTTACCCCATAATTATATTTTTAATTAAAATAGTTTCCTTCTGCAGAGATGGTCATATGGTTTTTTATTTACTTTTGTCAATGTTGTAAATTACATTAAAAGAGTTTTAATTGATTTTGAACCATTCCAGCTTTTTCTTGATAACCCTTACTTGGCTAGTATGCATTATTTTTTAATGAATTCAAATCTAACATTTAATTACAATGGTATACATCATGTTTTTAATGAAATTGGCTGACTGTATATTTTTGCTTCATTGTTTATTTGGACTTTCCTTGTCTAGTTTGTTGTCAGAATTATTCTAGTTTAATAAAATGAATTGGGAGAGTTTCCACATTTCCTATATCCTAAAAAGATATTGATATATAATAAGAGAATATTTTATTCCTCAAATTATCTGAGAAAGATATCATTCTTTTAAGGAAATATCTTTGACTACTTCTTACAATTTCTCCTGGTCCTTTCAGGGTTTTCTATCTCTTCCCATCCACTTTTCATTATTTCATATAATACTATTGAAAGATATAAAATTGTTTCATTCATCGGCAAATATATATACAAGTAGTTATCTCACAATTCCTATTTGTGTGAAAAGGCACATGTATTGGCCGTCATTCCCTGTGTTTGTCTCCCTCTCTTTTACATAAGATAAGATTTGATTAAAAAAATCCACACTTCTTTGATCTTTTCAAAAACTCTCCTTGACATTTATGGATCTGCCGAACTACAAGCAAAACATATCCTCCCACTGTAGTTATTAGTGTAGAATCACAACAGGAGTGAACACATTTGCCCCTGGACTCTATTGGAGCATCGCTAAATGCATATTCATATTCTCATGTGTGCGCATGTAGGCTTAGTTTATAATAAAAGGGGCATTTCAATCCAATGGCGGACACAAGGTGTATGTAATGGGTGGTGGCGGCTGTCTCATTTGCTCAGCATGCTGCCGGCACCGTCACGTGCTACCTGGAACAGAGCAGATGCTCCCTTTCTTTTTAACCTCCACACGAACTTGGCTCAGGGCGTGTCTTTTTGTCCTCTTGTGTTTCAGGCTATTTTTCCCCTAGAGTTCACAACATCTATTTTCTTTATTTTAGGAATTTCAGAACATTCAGGTCTGCCATATTGTCTATTTTGCTGTTTTAGAATGAATTTTCATTTCCCCTCCCCCCTTAATGGCATGCCCTTCATTTCATGTAAATTTAACTGGGTGAAGAGGTGGGTGCCTGTGTTTATTTCAGCACCTTGATTCGGTTTGCCATCTACTTAATTTATTATAACAATACATTTCTATGTAACTTTATCTGAAAGCTCACCAAATAATGATAATTTTAAAAGCCCATAATCAAACCACTCTGAGGCCCCGTGTGATTTATTTGGATACTGTGACTTTTGTAATGCCACCCTCTGTCTGGGTTCTATAAGTTTCTCTGTTTTCTTTTGCTTTCCTTTTCTTACCCGATAGAAATGCACTTCTTCATGCTGTCTTGACAGCCACGTCTCTGACTTCCTTGTGAGAAAGTCCATCTGCTTAGTCCATGTCCAGATCACCCCTGTGTGGACACTGTGTGCCTCCCGTCTCATTGTTCTTCATTGCTGTTCTTGGCACAATGAACTCGTGGTTTCTCTGGGTCTGTCATGCATGGCTGCTTTGAATACTGCTCTGTTTACCTGTCTAACCCCTTCTCATGCATCAGGATTGAACTTACTTTCACCTACTGGCAAGCCCTCCCCACCCCACTGGCAGCTTGCTAGGCTGGGCACAAGGCCTGATGTGCTTCTCTGACCCCTGGGAGCACTCTCTAGGAGCACTGATGTCATTGAACTGTAATTGTCTGGATTTACTACTAAATCTGCTCAAGGCAAAGACTGAGTCTTATTTATCTATACTCTTAGTTCCTTGTCCGATAGGTAATACATGCATATTGGATAGCAGGATAAATGAATAAATGAAAGAAGAATGAATAAATGTATGAAAGTTGCCCGGCCGGTGTGGCTCAGTGGTTGAGTGTCGACTCAGCACCAAGAAGTCACTGGTTCGATTCCTGGTCAGGGCACATGCCCAGGTTATGGGCCTGATCCCCAGTGGGGGGCGTGCAGGAGGCAGCCAAACGATGGTCTCTCTCATGGATGTTTACTTATCTCCCTCCCTCTCCCTTTCCCTCTCTCTCTCAAATCAATAAAGAAAACAAATTGAAAAAAAATAAATGTGTGAAAGTAATTATGACTCATCTTCAATTCTTCTTGGACAATGGTTATAAACAAAGAGACATGTAATACTTTCCTTCCTTCATTTCATACAATGTAACTCTGTGCCGCTGTTGCAGGAAAAATGCAAGAAGAATAACTGCTGCTGGAAGCCTGTGCCAGACACGAATGTCCCCCATTGCTTCTTCCCCAGGAACTGGGGCTATGAAGTCGACAGCGACACCTTTAAAAATAAAAGCACAGGTGAGCACCGTATTCCCCAACTACTCTTTGTAAGAAGTGTATAATTCAATACTATTGTTATTTACATACGAACACTTTCTGTTTTAATTTTATTTTTTGATTGAATTTATTGGGGTGACATTGGTTAATAAAATTATATAGGTTTCAGCTAAACAAATCTATAGTACGTTCACCACCCCAAGTCAAGTCTCCCTCCATCACCATTTATACCCCCTTTACCCTCCTCTACCTCCCCTCAACCTCCTTTCCCTCTTGTAGTCACCATACTGTTTTCTGTGTCTATAGATTTTTTTTTGTCTTTGCTTCTTCACCTCTTTCACTCAGCCCCCAACCCCCTCCCCCTCATTCTCTTGTTCTGTCCCCACCACCTGCAGGGTGTACTGTCAAGCTGAAAAAGTTGCCAACCCCAACTCTGTTTGAATTTGATGTCACTGACGCCCTCTTCACAGCTGAGTATCAGACACCCAGGCGTCTTCATTTTAAGGTCAGTTTGGTCATTATCATTGAATACACCCCTGGAGAAAGCAGGGCCATGCACTGGGTTCGGATCACAGAAGTGTGGAGGCAGAATTTACCTCCGGCCCTCTCTGTAGGGATCTCCGGATTTTCTGGGAATGCTCAATTTTATTTGATGGGGGCTACGCAATTGGGGAATTTCTTCTCACACATCAGGAAACACAGGGTCACGAATGAGAAGCTCTTTTCATTGGGGGTTATGTGGGAGTGAGAAGATTTTGTAGCTCTGCAAGGAAGTGGTCTTATCTGGCTGTCCCTTTGGTTTCCTTCTGACAGATCACTGATTTCAACAACCAACGCTATGAAGTCCCTCATGAACATGTTAAGCTGTTTGGCGGGACTGATGGTGCCGCCAACTTGAGCTATCACATGGAGATCATTGAGAAACCCTTTGGCATCAAAATAATGAGGACGAGCAACAAAAAAGTCTTGTGAGCTTTTCAACACTCTTTGCATATCTTTGAATACACAGCCCCAGCGACATTCATTCTGACTTCCTGTGGGTGGGTGATCAGCCAAGTATAATTGGGAAAATGTATGAACCTCAGAAAAATATCAAAGCTTTTGGTAACAATTATTAATACTGCTATTCTGTTATGATTACAGACCCCCCCCCCCCAAATACTAAAATGGGATGCGTTGGTTTGCCGAGTTATGTAAATACTCTTCATGTATATTATAAAATAGGGCATGTTATTATTTTGGATTAGCATTCACACTGGAACTCAACTTCACTGTTTCACATTCCAATTATGATTCCAAGACACTTTCCATCAAGCCCTGAATGACGGCCTGAGCGTAAACCATAAATTGTACTGGAGAACATACAAGAATTAATGTCAGTGAAACCTACACTCAAATCCCTGTACCAGCATGTCACCAGCAGGCTGTGTGACATGAGGCCTAGTACCTCACCTCCTCAGTCTCAGATTCTTGTCCATAGAAAGGGGATCAAAACGTTCTCTGTTGCTCTGTGACCTGAGATCGTGTTTACAAAGCATGCCGTGTAGCGCATGCGTGAAGTAGATGCATGGAAAATGCAAGGTCCCGCCTGCTCAGCTCACAATCATCCCACTAAGTGTCTGTTACCACATCTCCAGTGCTATGCGCCTCTAGAATTAGAGAATCTGAGACACCCTAGAAAGACTGTCTTCAAAAGCACGAAAGTCGATGGTAAGATGTGAAACAAAGTGTCGAAGTGTCCAGGACAAAAGCAGACCGTTCCCTGGCACAGAGAGCCACTGGGTGGTTGGGTGACTCTCGTTCTTGCTCCGTGGCCCAGGTTGAACACCAGCATCGGGCCCCTCTTGTTCGCTAATCAGTACCTGCAGCTGTCTTTCCGGCTGCCCAGCGCCAGCGTGTATGGGCTGGGAGAGCACGTCCACCAGCAGTACCGCCACAGCATGGACTGGAAGACCTGGCCCATCTTCACCAGGGACGCCACCCCCTCCAAGGTGAGGGGCCCTTTCTCCTGCCTGCTCACAGGAAGGAATACCTTGTCTCTTTTTCAGAAAGCAACCCGCAGAGTCAAGTAACCTAAAGAGTTACATCTATTTACTAGTTTGCCCAGTTTAGAGCTGTTTGTGCTGGGAAGTACTTATTCTTGAGGTTCATAAACTCACAATACTAATATATCGATTTTTAAAAACATTTCACTTTTAAAAATATATAGTTTAATGGCTATATTATACTCAGTTTGCCTGCCTTCCTCCTCCCCTTCCCTCCCCTCCCCTCCCCTCCCCTCCCCTCCCCTCCCCTCCCCTCCCCTCCCCTTCCCGTCCCTCCCCTTCCTTCCCCTTCCCTCCCCTTCCCTCCCCTTCCCTCCCTCCATGCCTTCCCTCCTTCCTCTCTCCTTCTCTCCTTTCCACCCTCCTTTCTTCCCTCCTTCCCCCTTCCTTCCTCCCCTCCTTCCCTCCTTCCCCCCTTCCTTCCTTCCTTCCTTTCCGCCCACCTCTCCTTCTTTCTTCTTAACATTTTAAATTTAGTCTGTATTCTAGCCAGGTGCTGATGCCATAACTTCTCCCGGCTATAACGTTAAATCTGGCCTAGTTTTGCATAAGTCTGCTGGTTTTCTGTTTCTCTCACCATGCTGATGATTTTCTCCTCCTCTCCTGGAATTTTCCATAATCAGTACTATTGCCCTGTATACTAAGGACTTATTTTGCAACAACAAACAGGATGTGTGTTATAGTCTCGTATCTTCTCTTCTTACACCCCTTAAAAGTACACACATTATCTCTTTTCATATCAGTGCTCTCAGCAGAGCCCTGAGACAGGTTCGATATATTGCTTGCATTTAAGAAAAATTAAATCTTTATTACAACCTAAGTATTATAGTTTAATTATAGGAAGATTAGAAAATACAGTTAGGCATAAAGAAGAAATTCAAAATTTCTCACAATACCATCATCTTCTGCTAACATTTTATTATATGACATTGCAAATATTTTCCAATTTTTAAAAACTAATGTGATTGAGATATAACTTATATACCATAAAATTCACTTGTTTTAAGTAAATAATGCAATGATTTTAGTATATTTACTGAGTTGTGCAATCATCAACATAATCCAGTTTTAAAACATTTTCATCACCCCAATATCCTTTACACTTAATGTCTATTTTCACCTCAGTGCTGACTCCTGCCTCAGACAATCACTAATCTACTTTCTTTCTCTATAGATTTGACTTCTCTGGACATTTCTATAAGGGAATCATGACACATTATCTTTTGTGTCTGTTTCTTTCACTTTGCATAACATTTATGAGATTTATTCATGTTGTAGCATGTATTAGCATTTCATATCTTATCATTATTTAGAGCATTCCATTGTATGGATGTATCATATACACGTGTTGATGTTTCCATTTTAACACCTTTTTGGTACAATACTAACTACAATAAGTGTTGGCCAAGTCCATGTGGTGCATGGCTTTTGATTTTATTTTGGGGTGAATAGAAACACTTTGAACATAAACTATTATTTCTTTTCACTTTTGTTGACAGGACATGGCTAATCTGTATGGAGCTCACACATTCTTCCTGTGCCTTGAAGACACCAGTGGCTCCTCTTTTGGGGTATTTCTGATGAACAGTAATGCTATGGGTAGGAGACATCTTTTGATCTTGGAAAGAATATGTTTTGGGATGCCACTTTTATAAAAATGACTTGTATGGTGAGATCACTGTTGAACAGAAGGCATAATGGACCTACTGTGCTTCTATAGAAACTGGAAACAGAAAGTAGGTTAACCTATCTACAAATCCAGTTCATGCTAAAAGTTTGTTTTTTTTTTAAAAGATTTTTATTGATTTTTAGAGAGAGAGAAAGGTAGAGGGAGAGAGAGGGAGAGGGAGGGAGGGAGGGAGGGAGGGAGAGAGAGAGAGAGAGAGAGAGACATTGATGTGAGACCAACACATTAATTAGCTGCTTCCTACACGCCACCTACTGGGGATCGAGCCTGCAACCCCAGCATATACCCTGACCCGGAATTGAACCAGCAAACTCTTGGTGCACAGGGCGATGTCCAACCAGCTGAGCCACACTGGCCAGGGCAAAAGCTATTTTTTATTGAAAATTGCTTCAGGAGTCTCTTTTCATGCCTTGTTTCCCATAATATTTTGTAGATTATAGGATTCACTGGTAGACCCGTTCCAAAGACACCTGTAGATTTCAACATGTAAAGCATGCTGTCATCTGTAGGACTAGTGGTGCTCTAATAAGGGTTTATTTTTATTTATTAAAAAAAAATTTTTTTTCTTTATTGATTTTAGAGAGAGAGGAAGGGAGAGGGAGAAAGAGATAGAAATATCGATGAGAGAGAACATGGAATGACCGCCTCCAGCATGCCCCCCACTGGGGATTTGTCCCACAACCTGGGCATGTGTCCTGACCAGGAATCAAACTGGTGACCTCTTGGTGCATGGGTTGACACTCAACCACTGAGCCACATCAGCCAGGCTATTTTTATTTTTAATTGTAGGTAAAATCATTTAATAAAGGTTTATTTCTGATTAAATAACTAACAAATCCCAGATATTTGTATTTTTATATGGCCAGATTAAAATAGAATGTGTTCCTCTTTCTCTTAAAAAAAATCAATTAATTTTTCATGGGTGTTGTACTCATTTAATGTTTTTATAAGCTTCGTCAATCATAGAAAGAAACAGGTGTGGTTTTCATCTCTTTTAAAATGAGACTGAGACTGTTTTGGGTAGTTCACGTATTTAAATTCTGCAGAAGAATATATTTCAACCGTGGAATTCTAATGACTCCTACTTTAACCTTTTTAGAGGTCACCCTTCAGCCTGCTCCTGCCATCACTTACCGCACCATCGGGGGCATTCTTGACTTTTATGTGTTTCTGGGAAACACTCCGGAACAAGTTGTTCAGGAATACCTGGAGGTATGGCTTTGTAGTTAGATAGCCATCCCTTATTGCTGTTATCTCATATACTCGTTATAAATTAGCTGGAGAGAAATAAAACTTATGAAGAAACTATGGATTATAAATACTGGGTTGTAAGACTTTCATCATTGTACGTTTACGGAATGCCTTCTGCATGTACAAGGCTTGAGAAAGGTGAAAATAAGTCAGGTGCTATGGTATTTTCAAGGAACTCATGGTCCATCCATACATGATCAGTCATCCCAAAGACCTGAGGCCACAACACAGCAAAGTTCATTCATTCATTCAATAAATAAAAATTTAGTGAAAAGAAACTATACACAAGGAATTGTGCTATTATTTATTTATTTATTTATTATTTTTAAAATTTATGTTTTTAGCCCTGGCCGGTTTGGCTCAGCGGTTAGAGCATCGGCCTACGGACTAGAGAGACCCTAGTTCGGTTCCCGCTAAGGGCATGTACCTCGGTTGCAGTTTGTCCCCTGCCCCAGTTGGGGTTGTATGGGTGGCAGCCAGTTGATGTGTCTCTCTCACATTGATGTTTCTCTCTCTCTTCCTCCCTCTCTCCCACCTGCTCTATCTGAAGATAAATGCAAAAATGTCCTTGGGTGAGGATAAAAAAACAAACAAACAAACAAAAATGTTTTTATTTATTTTTTTAGAGAGAGAAAGGGAGAGGAAGAGAGAGAGAGAAAGATTGATTGGCTGCCTCCTGCATGCCCCCTACAGAGGATCGGCCAAAAACCGGGTATGTGCCCTGACTGGGAATCAAACTGGTGACTTCTTAGTGCATAGGACTATGCTCAACCAACTGAGCCACACCGGCCAGTGCTTTGCTATTTATTTTTGATTCAGACTGTAGGACAGGAAGGAACTTTAAACATCATTTGACCAAACTTCCTACTTTGCAGATGAAAAAAAACTCAAGTACAGAAAAACAAAGTGATTTGTTCAAGATGGCACATAAACATGTATGAATTATAGTCCCAGGTACCAGTGAATTTATGATCAAACAGGAGGAATATGACAGCCTAAAATCATTATAATTGGAAACATCTTACATAAATGCCATCCATGAGGTACAAATAAACTTTCTGGCAATTCAGAAGTATGAAAAAATCACCATGCCGAGAAGACTGTCCTATGGGAGGGCAGGGGCTCTTTAAGGGACAGTGTAGGACAGGATTCTATTGGGATCTTCTCAGAATGTTGGCTCGAGTAACCTGCAGACTTGGATTTTAAACTTACTCCAGTATTGCTTCACCCATCCCACTCATATTCCTTTCCTTATTCTTTTATCCTTAACATACACAATGATCTGAAACTCTATTAGACATTTATGGATTTCCTTTAAGCTCTGTGTCAGAAACACTCAGAAAATATTTACTGTGTGAATAAAACATTACTTCTTTCCCCCAAGATGACACTGCTATTCAAGCATTTTATGCACATGCGATTGTCTGATGTTGTAGTTGTCTCTGGGAGTGCATTGAGTACTTGGGAAAGAAAGATGTACGACGTGGAATTTTGCAAATGACCCCAGGCGATGACTCTTGGCTCTGATATTTTAGATCTGGGAACCTAACAGATAATGAAATGGAGACAAAGTTGTCTGTGTCGGACAAGGGGCTGCAAATTGTTTGTTCGTAATGCTTAGACATTCTTTATCTTTCTAGCTCATTGGACGACCATTCTTGCCTTCCTACTGGAATCTTGGGTTCCAGCTCAGTCGCAGGAATTACAGTAGCATCGAGAGATTGAAAGAGGTCGTAAACCGAAATCGTAAAGCCAGGATCCCATATGTAAGTTGGAACTTCTCTTATCATGCATAAGACACCATTTACTATCTTTTCTTGTTTGTACCTAATTCAGTTAATTAGGAAAAATACAGGTGGATAGATTGGTAGATAGATGGATGGATGGATGGATGGATGGATGGATGGACAGATAGATAAACAGATAGATATATAGACAGACAGACATACTTACTATCATAACTTTGCAAACTAAATTACCTATGTCATCATGGGAAGAATACAATTATGGAATCAGAAGGATATTATTTTGAATTTTAGCTTTTCCTCTTTCTAGCTCTATGCAGTGTTGGGCTAGTTAATTACCACCTCTGTGTTTTAGTTTCCTTCTTTATAAAATAAAAATCTAACACTTACTCTGCTGGGCTGCTTATGAAGAATGCCTTATACTATGCATGTAAAATAAAGCACATGACACGGAGGATGAACTCCATCCAAGTTAGTTGCATTTCATAAGAGAAAGCAATACCTGGGTGACATGGTTAATAAGTGCTAATTATTAGAATGATGACTTACAGTGAGTTTCTCATAGTGACCTTGTATATGCTTTCTGGATCCAACAGACTCATTTGGAAAGCTCTGTGGTTGCCAAGTATTTATCATGTCCAATGTCCACTAACAAATATAAAGATAATTATTAGATGTTGATGTTTGAAAAGTTCCTCCCTGGAGTTGTATAACATGTGGTTAATGAAGTTATCAAAGCAATTTATTTTGGGCTTAATCTTTGGAACTGTGATACAAACACATATTTGGTTAATATCTGAAGGAAGATATCATGGGTGGAAATGACCTTGGCCTGATCTCAGGAGTGTTCAGTCCCCTCTCAGAGTAGCAATGAGATAAATTTTTCCTGTGACAAAACCTGCTCACTCTGTGGTTTTGTTGTTAACGGGAAAAGATTATGTACCTCATTTTACCTCTCCCATATCTGCTATCTGCAAACACCCAATTCCAGGAGGCACCAGGCCAAATTTTGCCACATCTTCATCATTTTACAAAGTGCTTTCCCATTCATGGTTGACCCTCACTAATTGGTATTTTGCAAATGAGGACATGCAGACACTGCAATGCTAATACATTTCCTGAGCTCGCTCCAGCTGGCTAAATGGCAGACCCAGGATTCAAAAGCAGTTCTTTTGGCTACACGTGGTGTTGGCTTCAATCTTCCCTCATGCTTCTGAAGGGAAGGGCATTTTCTGAGGCCTTGCTGATTCAGAAACAAATGAACTTTTCTTCCATGGACTGGAACACCTGCCTCCTAAATGCCTGCCTAGTATGAGGACAGATGCTGCAGACATCAGGCCACAAGCCACACTTCCCTTCAGGCCTGTAAGTTAGAGCCTCTCCCACAGACCACATGATGAACAAGTACTTAGAAGATCCCATATGTCTTTGAAGTATGTGGCAGATTGGAACAAAAAAGCACATGGAGTCAAAGGGTCCATCACCAAAGCCCAAATTGACCCCCTGCCCACTTCTGCTTTTGACCTTGGGGAAAGTCACTTGACCCTACACATTGCAATCTTCTCGCTAAGAATACTGTCTGTTCCTCACAAGTTGGTAGGCAAACACAAAGATAATGTGTGTATGTGAGTTTGGTTTATTCAAGCGCTGTCCTTTTGTCGTTTATCTTTGTTAATTATTACCCAGGAAGTTTTGTAAGACAAGAAGACTGTTTTCTTCTAGCTTGGTGTCCAGGGTCCAAGTTAGCACATGGTTATAACATTACTCCTGGGCTCATTCAGGCAAATATTTTAAAGACACCTGTTTTATTTCAAGCATCTAAGCTCTCAAATGACAGAGATGACCAGTACGTGGTCCTCATCTTCGAGTTCCTCCCAATACCTTACGGCAGGCATCTGTCAAGGCAGAGATAAAACTGCAACGTTAAGAGTGCCTGAATGTTTCAGAATCTACTCCTATAGGAAGTAGTCCAGTTCTGGAAGCTCCAGGGTCATTTGGAAATACGGCTTCTGTTTTAATGGTGAAGAACCAGAGTGGTCAGCATGGTGGCATTGCCTAGGTGCTAACTGGCCAGTGCCATCTTTCAGGACGTTCAGTACTCGGACAGAGACTACATGAACATGGAGAGGGATTTCACTATCGACGAAAAGGCTTTCCCTGGGCTCTCGGATTTTGCCAAGAATTTACATGACCACGGACAGAAATATATAATTCTTATGGTATGTTCACACACATATTCTGTGGCTTAGTTTTTCCCTTTAAAACATGCGAAAGAAATTTATAAAAGCAATATTTATTATCTTACTTATTTACTAGCATCCTGGCATCTACAGTGATTCTGGGTACCAGCCCTATAAGAATGGAAATAAAAAGAAAATATGGATCTTGGGGGACAATGGCTATGTCGTTGTGCAGGTAAATTCTCAAAATAAATAAATAAATAAATAAATAAAAAGTCAGAGTAAACTGCAGTCATTTGGAGATGTTGGTACTTTTGGTATGAAGGCAAATTATAGTGTCATGACTGTTTCCATGGCTTCAGCAGTTTATGTTACTGTTCTTTTAAAACCAGTCGATGTAAAGTAGAATTCTTAAGGATTTAAATTTAAATTTAAAATTTCTTTATTGATTTTATAAAGAGAAGAAGGAAGAGGGAGAGAGAGATAGAAACATCGATGAGAGAGAACATCGATTGGCCACCTCCTGCATGCCCCCAACTGGAGATCAAGCCCACAACCTGGGCATGTGCCCTGACTGGGAATCGAACCGGCGACCTCTTGGTGCATGGGTTGACGCTAATATATTGTTAAGTTACGTAAGACTTATAGATAGAAACCAGGCTTTTTTCTAAGGTAGCAGTTTCAGGCATTTGAATAGGCTGCTGAGGATCCTAGTTTCAGGGCAGCTGAGCTTTTGGGAGAATTTTAAATCAAATCATGTCGTCCACCTTCTCTTCCAATTAGGTGTGGGGTCAGCCCTAGATGATGACATGGTGGAAGAGTTACTAAAACTGACACTTCACCTAAAAGTTCACGTGGCTGCACTTCTGGTTGTTCCTGAGAAGTGAACTTTGCAAAACTTGTATTTTCAGGGTTAATAGTGACTCCTTACCTAACTGCTCACTTAATTCCCATCACTGACTTTGTCTGCAATACTTCTTTCTATTTGCTTTCTTTTTCATCGACTATAACTTTTCATGAAAGTGTAGAAGCATTTCCTTCCTATTGCAAACCCATTCTCTGTTTTTACTGTTTTGTTGGCTGTGAATTTCTAAAATATCATATAGATCGGTATTCACACGCAAGGACAAAATCAGAGGCCGTGGTCCCATAAAAATTGTTTTGCTTATTTGGAAAGGAGATTATTCAGACCTGTGAGTCATTTCAGTAGTACTCATATTTGAGTGCCATGTAATTAGGAATTTGCACATAATCACAGAGATTTAAGTAGATTATTACCTCCATTGACCAATAAATAACAGGAATCACCTGATCTAAGATGCTGGCAGAGGTGGCAGTACTGGAGGTGGTGTGGGTTCATTAGAAAGGAGTTTGGTTAGTTAGTGTTGCTGGGGGCGACTCCTTCAATACACCACATTCTTCCTGAGGTTCAAAGTTACCTTCGATTATTGTATGGTGCCCCATCACCTAAGACAAAGAACCAGGATGGAGGGAGGGATATAGATAGATAGATGATAGATAGATAGATAGATAGATAGATAGATAGATAGATAGATAGACAGACAGACAGATAGATAGACAGATAGATAGAGATATTCATTATACTGCCCGAGCATAAAGTTGTCCCTAAATGACAACCTATAAATTTGTTGGGAATTAAACAAGAATGAATGTATAAAACCTTCTATATTGTCAATTCAGAATTTTCAGTAATGTGGCTATGACTATATCTTTGTGCTATTTATGGAAAATGTTAAAAGCTAATCTTTAATAGGAGTAGATAGGAAGAGAAGATAGAATAAGAAATATTTGACCTGAGTAAGAAGCACGAAATTCATTTCACCATTTGAAAAGATGGTTTATATGCCCCAAGCCAATGTGTTATTTATAAACAGCATTATTCAAAGCAGATTTTAGATATTCTTCAATTAACAAATATGAAACAAATTCAGTCATTCTCTTCTAAAATATTATCTAGTTGAACTTTCCAGTATTTTAAACAGTTATCTCAATTGGCTTGACATAATGGAATTTACCTTTATTTTAATCATATTGAAAAGACATTTGATGGCTTCTCATCTCTGTAATAAGTTGTTTTTATCTTCCTTTGATTCCTTGAATCTATTTGAACGTTTAGTTTAGGGAGGAGAGTCACACATTTTGATTCTAAAATGATAAGCCACAGGGAGCTTCTAGAAGAAAAGATAGTAGTAGCCAGCAATAGATGCGTGAGTGAATTATTAGACAACCAGTCATTGTCCTCTTTGTTCTTTAGGGAGCTCTTGGAAAGAGAGTGTTTCCGGCTTACAATAATCCGGACTGTACTCAGTGGTGGACAGAAGAGTTCCAAGAATTTTATAAAACTCTGCAGTTTGATGGAGTGTGGACTGTGAGTTGTTATTCTAGGATCAAACTTATTTTGGAGACCAATATTTCAAATTTTGGGATGAATTTTGACTCTAATCTGTAATAAAACAGTTTTATTAAAGACATAGTGATGTTTGACATCCTTTTACTTAATGTTGAATTTCTACTATCTAATATGTTAGATCCCTCAAAACCCTGGATTTTAATTCTCATCTGCTACCAACTGGTTATTTCTTTTTAAGAAAGTCTTTTGCTTTCTCATGGCTGTAGCTTTTTCCACCATTAACTGTTTTTTAGCTTAAAAATATGATTTGATTAGAAACTAAAAGTGCTTTTTTTTTTAAACAATGGTTTATTAAAATTTAAAGTAAGTCATTAGAGAATAATTTAATGAGCCTCTTTTATATTTTTAGAGGAGAGCAGGTGGGGAAATTTCTACGACGTTTGAAAAATTATATGTTTGTTAGCAGGATTACGCATCACTTATATTTAATCTCTTTTAAAGAAATGAATTTGATCTCAATTATATCTTCTTATATCCTGCACTGCATGGAATAAAAGACAGGGAAGATTATCAAATAGAATATTACTTTTTCTTAGGTTCTTGAAAACAATACTGAAACAAGATCAGCAACAATAAAATCACAACCCGTAAGAGCCTTTGAAATAGTATTTCTTAATTAACTGATTGCAATCAATGCATAAAAGGTTAAATGTACCTGATAGCATTTAGAGTTGGAAGTCACCTTAGATACAATCTAATCCAAAACATGAAACAGAGGTCAAGAAAATTCAGGAAGCTTACTTAAGATCCCAAAATCCATTAGTAAGAGACCCCAGCTATGCAGCTTCTAGTTAAGTAAACACCCTTTAACAACTAACGGGATCAGTAACATTTCTCACTATGTATATTTTGTGTCTCTGAAGGAAATGGAAGAAGTATCTGTGTTTTCATCTGATGTTCATGATTGTGCAGATAACAGCTTGAACTTTCCTCCGTTTACTCCTCGTAAGTTCTTGTCTGTTTGCAACCACGTAGACAGGAGACGTTGGAAACAACCACAGTGAAACTCAGTATGGCCAGGAGCAATGTCACTTCCCAGTTTTTTGTTTGTTTGGCTGTTTTTGTTATTTTTATTTTTTTCTATTAAACATTTTTAGTGTTGACATAATTGCAGGTGTTCCCCATTTTTCTGCCCTTTGCCTACATCCCTCCCCCTTGGCCTTCACCAAGCCCCTGACCACATCTCTCCTGGAGACCTTACTGTATTATTTGGTCTCCGATGACCATTTTGCTGCCATAGTGCAAGGGCCAATGTGTGGTAAAAGTCATATTTCCTGTGCTGTACCTCCTCTCTCAAATTCTATGTTCTCCCTTCCTGTTCACTTTCTCTAAACCCCTTATGTGGCTCAATTTTATACTTTATCAGAATACCAGAATACTAGAAGTACAAGCTACCTCCTATAGGAGTAAATCTGGAATCGTGTGTGTGTCAGTGTGTGTTTAGCTCATTACCAACATCAATGGTTCCTGTTAGTCCTTCCTATTTATGAGTCCCCTTGCCAGTCAAAGTCAATTTTCCAGTCTCTGATTTTGAAAGAGTGTGTGTGTGTGTGTAACAGTATAGTGTTTGTGGACACAAATGAACCCCACGTCTCAGCAGAGTACACAATAAATGTGCACTTTTTGTTCATATAGTATCCTGGAGTGGGATGGGTGGCTCTCATCCATGCAGTGACTCAGGAATCCAGTTACTTCCGTTGCCTGGTTCCAGCTTCCTAGGTGAAGGAGAGATAAAAGGGTAATAGGAGCTTTATGGACAGGCCTGGAAGTGGCATGTATTCAATTTGTTCACATTTCTTTGGCCAGAATCCAATCACATAGTCTCTGCTAAATTTTCAAGAGAAAATATGAAATATAATCTCATACTCCCAGGAAGAAGACACAGGCTTGGCGAGCATTTGTCTAGTCTCTGCCAGTTTCTTCTGGTTTCTCCACTTCACGCATACCCTTGAACCCAGGTGTAGCTGTTTCTTTACCCCTTTAAGTCACTGAAGGAATGGAGAAATTTTTTTAGGGAAAATCTTGACTTCCAACCAGTTAACTTCTTACAAAATCTACTGTTCCTTTCCCCCACTTATTCTTCATTCTTCTCTGCTCATTCCATGTTTCCCCATTTTCTTCCCACTGTGGATCAGTTTATCATGTTTCCCTTTTAATCTCTTAATCTTCTACTTCACCAAACTGAATTTGTTTTTTTCTACAGAACACTGAAATCTTATTACTTTCTGTCTGCCTCTAGCAAGTACCCCACTCCCTACCTCCCAGCATTTTATCTGCCTCCATATGACCAGCTGCTCTGCCTCAGTCTACTTTCAATCTTCTCAGGATTAAAAAGTACACATTAGCATGAAAAAGATGTAGATATATTACCTTTGCCTATGGGAAGATCTCAGTGTCCTTTCTTATTATTGAACTGGTTGTGAATCTCAGGCCACAAACCGAGTCGTGCCAGAAATAAAATTGTCTTTATATTTTATAATTAAACATAATTCCTCACTGCAAACCCTGATTCTGTTGGGCTGGTGGGAAAAACTCAACCTCAGTTTTTCCTGGCTCCACTGCTTTCTGGAATTGTGCCTCAGACTGAGGTCCTAGGAATAGGGAAGGCTTCATGAAGGAGGAGAGCAGGTATGACCCCTTGGGCCAGAATGAGATTGCAGGCCACAGGATGGAAAGTGTTGAGCATTTTAGGCATAAGAAAGGGAAAATACAGTCACAATGCCGATTTCTAAAGACAGGATCGAAGTCGTCTTCATGAAACCACCCAAATGTCATATCTCATTTTTTTTTTAAAAAGTGTAACAGGTGTGAATACTTATATTAGAGTGAATGTGTTCCCTTTTCATTGCCCTCTTGTCTGTTCTTTATACACTCAGTTCTCCTTGGTTCCATATATGTAGTTATGTGTGTTCCTAATTTATATTTCATCTCAGATCAACTTCCCAATGCTCTGAGCTGCTGTCTCAGTTTCCTCCACTCAGCACTATTCTCTGTGAGCTCAAGAGAATGCAAATACATTTTAATGACTGATCTCAGTGAGGGGCTTAGAGTCTGCCCCAGGTAGGGAGTGGCATTTAGGGTAGGATTTTAAATCTGAAAAGGGTTTTGTCAGGTGGAGATTGGTGGGGAAGGAACCAGGAAGCCAATTGCTTCTGTTATTTTGTTAGTTTGTTGATAGGGAAGTGGCTTACTGATGGGTCTTTCCCCACAGGATTTCTGAACCCCAGGCTTTTTGCAGAAACTCTCTGCATGGACACCGAGGTTTACCAGGACTTTCACTATGATGTCCACAGCTTGTATGGCTACTTCATGGCAAGATCCACAGACTCGTAAGCACTAGGTTTTCCTCCTAATTCGAGATGTGGGGAACTGGGAGATGGACGGTTTCTCTTGTCATCTATAGTAATATTTTTCAAATGTGTTTTGTGGTTATAGGGATATAGAAACTCCTATCTTACAGTCTACTTAAGAGGTCTTCTTACATAATCCCTTGTTTTCTGTGCAGGATTATTTTTTATTGGTTTGTGACTAGGACTTGATAATAGTAGGCAGTAATGCACGAGGAATTTAGAATCCCCAGTTGGAAGTCAGCCCTTGCCGTGGGCTCCATTACTGAATGTGCTATGGTCACCACACTGGGGTTGCCTGATTTAGCAAATAAAAATATAGGACACCAAGTTAAGTTTGCAATGGACACACATATACTAAAAAATATTCATTGTTTATGTGAAATTCAAGTTTACCTGAGTGTCTTGTATTTATATGGCAATGTTGTACCATGCCCTCTTGTTTTCCTCCCTACTGCCTGCCCCACTCACCCTCTCAATTTGTTCCTCTGCCCCAAGACACACACCACTACCACCAACACCACCACCATCATCACATCTACCATCACTATCACCCCCACCACACCACCATCACCATCATCACTACAACTATCAACACCACCACTATCAGCACCACCACCACCATGACCACATCCACCATCATTATCACCACCATCACCACTACAACTATCAACACCACTACTATCACCACCACCACACCAACATCACCATCACTACTACAGCTATCAATACCATCACTATCAGTACCACCACCACCATGACCATATCCACCATCATTATCACCACCATCACCACCACCACACCACCATCATCACTACCACCATCACCACTACCACTACCACCAACACCACCACCATCATCACATCTACCATCACTATCACCACCACCACACCACCATCACCATCACCACTACAACTATCAACACCACCACTATCAGCACCACCACCACCATGACCACATCCACCATCACCACTACAACTATCAACACCACTACTATCACCACCACCACACCAACATCACCATCACTACTACAACTATCAATACCATCAATATCAGTACCACCACCACCATGACCACATCCACCATCATTATCACCACCATCACCACCACCACACCACCATCATCACTACCACCATCACCACTACCACTATCATCACCACCATCACCATCATCACATCCACCACTACCACTACCACCACCATCACCATTGCAACTATCACCACCACCACCACCACCACCACTCAATATGAAGGTCTAACAAAGAGACAGATGCTTCCTGCAAAGGATTTAGTCCATTACATACCTTGTCACATTAATTCTTTTGCTGTTTATTTTGTAAATTGAGGAATAACTCCCTGCAAACCCACTCCCACCCCCAAGTTTCTTCCTTGGAAGATGATAAATTATAATCTACTTAATAGAGCAAGAAATTAGGGGCTCAGCATAAGAAGATTTTTATTTAAATTCACAAAACAGACAAGGAAATGAAAGTATTTGAAGATTTGTTGGGGACTTTCCAGTGGCCTAGGAAAGAATGTCTTAGTTTCTCTCTGCTTATTTCCTTTGGTTTTGGTATTTCTGGAACTCTATGGTGGGGAACAGGGGCAGGGAGCCTTTAATTTCCTTATGGAACTTTTCTCATTCCTTTTCTTGACTTCTCCAAGGTACATGGCATCACTGACAAGTCCTTTGAAGCTCAGTTCCTTTGGTTCTGAGACACCTATCAGTCTTGGTACACCTGCTCCTTTTTCAGCTATCACTTCTCGACTTTTGCTTCTTCCTGACCTCTGGCTCTTTTTCATCTATTCTCTCACTACCGATAAGTTTTAGGGGTCAATCCCTAGGCTTCTTTTTTTTTTATTCTCTGCCAACACAAAGGTAATTTATTCCTTCTCGGTTTTTACTGTGATTTATTCTGATAATTAAAAAAAAATCTATAATTCTCTAAGTCTATAGCTCAAATCTCTCTCTGATTTTCAGACCCAGATAGCCAAACTACCTTCTGGTGTTCTCAACTTGGGTGTCTTACCGTATCTCCAATGCTACTCACCTTATTCTGTTACCTGTTTCTGCCCAGCCTCCACAGCTTGGCTAATCATTTTTGAAACTGTTAAATTCCGTCTTGGTTGGTAGCAACACCATCCCTATCTCTCAGACTCCCAAATGAGAAACTTGTACCATTCTTGAGTTATTTCTTTCTATCACACCCTCTCTTACAATCAGTCTTTAATCCTTTTGATTCTAAAACATGTATATAACCATCTCCTTTTTCCCCTCACTGACACTTCTCAATAGAGATCATCATCATCACTCACATAAAGCTTACATGAGTCCCATGACTCCTATCCCTCCCCTGACTGTAGCTTTATCTCTCACTCATCTGTCCTCTATTCTTGCGATGCACAGTGTGGTCCAAGGACCAGCAACATGAGTACTGCCTAGAAACATATTAGAAATGTATCACCTTGGCCCTCACCCTAGACCTTGGAAATAAAAAATGAGTTTTAACAAGATTCCCAGGGGTATTGAATGTGTGCTAAATTTTCAAAAGCACTACTCTCTACTGCTGTTAAAGTTATCTTTCTGAATCATGTGTCTGCTCCTTTCTCCCCCCAACCCCCAGTGAAAATCTGTTTACGTCCCTCCCCAGTGAAACATGATCTTTGGCTTGGTATCTTCTATACAATAAAATCTAGTCACCCCAGTCAAACTTGTAAGGTACTTCATAGTGTAATGCTTTCTTAGTATTTTTCTTTCATCTTTGCGACTCCTCATATTGTATGCTCTGGTAAAACATAACTGTTTATTGCTCTCAAATCAAAATGCGATGTCCTGCTTCCACATCTTTGCACATACTGCTCTCTCTGCACAGGATGCCCTTCCCTGCCCTGTCCATGTTGCAAACATGAACTGATCTTTAAAACCTCACTTCAGATGTTAATTCTGGAAATGTTTCTGACAGTCTTAGAAAGAGACTCCCCCCACCTCTTTACTTTATGCTACCTTTGTTCATATGGCACTATGCCTCATATCCAAACACCTTGTTTTATAATTTTAGGTATTCACTTTTTTTTTCTTGCTGGGCTGTAAGTTCCTTGAGGGCACAGTCACCCCATGTATCCTTAGCCTGAGGAATCGTGCGTGTACTAAAGACATGGCTGTTGAATAAATGCCTAGCTTGAGAAAGAGAAGAAGGTCAGGAGAGGCCCAAATGGGACCCGATGAAGTAGAGGCACAGACTGGGACTATTTATTTTTCCACACCAGTTTGTCCTCATGACTTTATGTTGTGCTAGACTGTCCAGGGAGAGAGAGTACTCATCCAGTACATGGAAAAAAATTTATGTCAATAAACAAAAAGCTTCAGGAAGAGGAACACACATTTCTGATTCTGTTATCTTTTCTTTTCTGACTTCTCTTTCACCCAACCTTCCCTGGGAAGTAAACTAGATGAGTAAGACCAGTTCCCTCATCTTGGAAATGAGAATCTTGGGTTGATGCTTCCCACATCCCTTCTTGCTCTGATCTAATTTGACTCACAGATGATTCTAAGCAGAAGTAGGGGGAAAGTGGAAAAATGGCCAGGGTGAGAAAGAAAGATGGAGAAAAGGCAGGAGGAAGGAAAGAGAGTTTCAAATTGCTTCATTGCTTGAGTCTCCGTATAATAAAAGTGCTGTAACATTATGAGGGTATTGGTTAATGTGTTCTAATAGCTATGTCAATAATGGTTAACAGTTTAAAGGTCTAAGTTCCCAGACAACAGTGGAGACAAGTGGAACTTGGCCTTTGGGCATTAGGCAGAGTTGGTTAAAAATCAATAAGATTTTCATTCAGTTGGATCTAGGCATGAGGAGAATTTAAGTCATAGATCTGATGAATATCTGGCTCCAACTTCACTAGAAGTATAGTCTGGGGACAGTGGTTACTGGTCTAGAGAGAGAATGAAATTCACTTTCCTCTAGTCTGAAAGTAGGAAGAACGCAGATCCTCTCTGATATCGAAACTTGACCGTAAGTAGGCCCAACCTGAGGGATGTAAAATAGAGACTTACAGATCTCTTGGTAAATATTTCCTCTAAGCTAGAAAAAAAAAAAATGTTATCTAATCAGTGTTACCATAATGGGCTGACTCTAAATAAACCTGAAACTCAAATAACTTCATTCCTGTTTCTGTTTCGCATTCTATAACCTGAATGTGTTTCATTCATGACCGACGATTGCAGGGTGCAGTAAACCCCCCAGCCAGTGGTAATAAAGGCAAAGTGTTGCTAGTTCATATCAAAGGAGAAATGAAGCCACGAGTTGGAGAGTGAGTGTTCTCCCCTCTTCCCTGGTTTTTCATTAGCTTGTCAGAAGGGGGCACTTTATTTTCTTAAACCAGTCTTCTCTTTCAGAACTTTCTCCCCTTTTCCCATTATAAGTCGTTCTGCATGTACACACTCCGCATAACACCCCTAGGAATATGAAGAGGAAAAGCATTGGTGGCTGTGATAACATCTGGGAGGAACTGCCTAGTACGTGATGGTATGCTTGCCTCCGACCATGTGTTGGAAGGAAAGATAGAAGAACTTGCCTGCAAAGAGCTACAAGCAAGTGTGGCTAGATATCACCACCCTGTAGTTGTATTACTGTTCACGTTTAAAACACTAAAGGAAGGTGTAAACTGTTTAGGAGAGGAGAGGGCAGGGAGAGGTCTAAGCAAAACAGTGTTCCAGATAACAGCCAGGAAACAGCTTACATCTTACGGTGTGTCATCCCATCCCATGTCCTCACATCCTTTCCGAATGCCTTGTCTTTAATTCCTTTGCTTTCCTTTCTATATCGTTTTATTTGATATCTAATACAATGGAAATAGTTTATATTTCAGTTGCTTTTAACTTCATTGAGAGGATCAAATATTATCTTTTGAGACATACTCATTTCAATTAATATTAGTTGGCATAGATTAAGGTTCCCTAACATTGGAAATTGCTAATAATAAGTTCTGAAGCTTCAGAGACAGCCCAGGTGCCCGGAGCCCAGATAGTGTACAGAGTCTCCTCTTAGGCAAAGAGCAGGTACAGGGTTCCAACTTGAGCTGGTGTTGTGCTAAACAGAATTATGAATGGGCAAGATGGCATGGAACCCTGGAATACTAAAAAAATTTTTTCTAGAGGGAGAAGATGGGGCCAATATTCCTTGGTTCCAATGAGTCATCGACCAAAAGGGCCAGAGCACAACCACATCCAAGATGGAGAAAACATAGGGGGACAGGAGCCTAGAAAAATTCCTTGGGGGTACTGACTGTAGAGATTTGTACTGTCTTATTTGAGGCTGGAACCTTATGTAGAAGTGAGAAAGAAGCTCTTAAAAATGCTAATCCAGCTTTCTCACCTTCAGGAGACCCTGATGTTTCTTCTCAATTTGGAAAGTCCATTGCTGCCTTTGGTATAGGTTACGTCCTTGACGTTCACAACTCACTTCACATTCAATTGATTCAATTCCTTTTCAGGGCCTTGAAGAGTATCTTCCTCAATAAGAGGAACTTCATTTTATCCCGTTCCACTTTTGCTGGATCTGGCAAGTTTGCTGCTCATTGGTTGGGGGACAATACAGCCGAATGGGATGATCTTCGGTGGTCCATCCCTAGTATCCTCGAGTTCAACCTATTTGGCATCCCCATGGTGAGTCTCACTCTCAAGCAAGGAGCATCCACCTTTTGTCCTTTGCCATTCTTTCCATTACCAGTCTTTGAGGGGTCTGAAAACCAAAGAGCATCTATGTCTCACTGTGATATGTATGGGAAAAATCAATTTTTGTGTGTGGTGTGAGCTGCTTTCTGAAGAGAGGATGGTAGCACTTTATCGCTGGGTTGTCATCCATGGAATCTCTGCAGTTAGGAAGAAGACTTTGTGAGTGAAATGTGTTAGTAACAGAAAAATTCCATCAATGGAGTATCAATGAATAGCAAATCATGAAATTGGGAATGAATGTTGAGGATGAGCCCTTGATATGACATACAACAGTCAGTCTTCCTCTTGTGAGTCAATTCACAATTGTGCACTTGCTGCATTCTCCCATTTGGCTGGGGGATTCCCCTGAAAACCTTGGACCTCTTTAAGCATGGAGTGATGGGAATAAGAGATTCCCTTTTCCCTTATCACATAGGTACACAGTCAATGCTTTCTTCATTCTCACTGATCACTGTGCTTGTATGTGTGCTTATTCTTCAGGTAGGTGCCAATATCTGTGGTTATTCAAATGATGTCACAGAGGAGCTCTGCAGAAGATGGATGCAGCTGGGAGCCTTTTATCCACTATCGAGAAATCACAATGGGCCTGGGTTCAGGGTAAGGTCCCAAAGAGAAGTGATAGAAACTTATTGGGCTATCTAATCTACTTGTTCTCAGAGAGGAGTTGAAGAAAATCCTCTGGGTTGGCCCTAAGTGCAGGAGCAGAACATAAATTTTGGGTGATAGACCTAAAAATCAGGGTGTTGGTGTGATGGTGTTTGGAAAAGTGTGTGTGTGTGTGTGTGTGTGTGTGTGTGTGTATATATATATATATATGGTTTTATTCCATGATGATTTTATTTTTGGAAACTCATCAACAAGGTGAGAGGGTTGCCAAAGTTTCCATGGTGCTGTTATCACATCTGTTACCACCTTATAAAAGATGGGCAATTGGAGTCCACTGATATTTTACTTCACTTAGTATGAGGGAAACCACTCTTAGATATGGGGGAGCAAGGAGAAAGGATTTAGGGAGGGGCAGGCCAGTGATCTGAAATTTTTGTTCACCTTGTTACAAACTTCTATCTTTCTATGAATGGTTTGGGAGACCACTCCCCACTTTCTCATGACATACCCCGCCTTTCTCCTCTTCCAACCATGTTTTCCATGAGCAAGTCTATAGAAATGGGTTCAAAGTTCCTCACAAGGAGACGTTTATGGTGATGTCAGGAGCAAGTAAGGTGGGCTGCCCTTTCTTTTAATGAAGAAATAAGCAACTAAAATGTTTTAAATTGAGTGGTTTAGCTCTTCCTAGGCTCCTTAGAGTAACACACTGAACCTCATTTTAGTTCTAGTTCTTGACTTTGTCTAGTGACATGTCTCTAGCCTGGGAAAGATTTGTGGTCAGAGCTTCACAGTATGTTATCCCTGGGCTGTCCTAGCTCTTTGTGTCCTAGAGAGATGAACTTCTTCTGAATTCTAAGCAGGTGTCTGGGAGCAGGAAGCGAGGGTGCTCTTCCTGAAGAGATGGCCTGGAAGGAACTCTGTCGATAAGAGGATTCACTCCTGCCAGCTTAGAGTGCCGGTTTTCTCTCCTGCCAACTGGTGCTGACCATAGAATGATAATGAGAGCCACACATGGAAGTTTAAGTGCAAACTAACTATTTTTAATATATTTTTAATATATTTTGTATAACTCAATCTATCCTTAGCATTATCACCCCAACCTGTATTTGATACAGAATACTAATAGTGAGCTATTTTATATTCTTTTCTTTCTACTAAGTCAGTGTGCATGTTGCACTTGCCATACATGTCAGTTTGGATGCCAAACTTTTCAGTAGTTGGAATGAAATGTAGCCCTACCAAAACCATCAAGGCTTAATAGAGAAATATTTCACATTGATTCAGTTTTTAGGTGTCTATTTAACTACAATCAAATATAATTAAAAGTGTAGTTGCTCAGTTTTACTAACCACATCTCAAGTGCCTAATAACCCCATGTGGCTTGTGGCCACCGTGATGGACGGGCAGCTCTGGATGCTCTCATATGGAGACCAGAGTGATGGATTTGGTGTTTGGTCTCAGGGTTTTCACTGAAGCCTACATTGGAGGCACAGAGTGGTCTCATTGAGTAGTTCTATTTGGAGGGGGAAATGGGCAACTTAGGGAACAGAAGGAAGGAATACATTTAGATAATTTTTTTCCTAATGTCCAGTCCCAGTAATACAGTACAGGATGAGCAGTTTAAATATGATAGGCACAACTTTCAACATGCAAGAAAAATGAACAAAATAAGGGCCCATCATTGTTGGACAATTTATGTTTCTGGGTCCCAAGAGAATTTGATTTCCCTCGTTAAGGGTTCTTTCTTTGCTCTTAGATAAAATCTGCTAAACTCTGTCTTCCTGATGTCTTTGCCCCTTGTGTATCGGAGAACAAAATAGAGGTCCCTTTCTTTGGGGCAGAAAAAATAAAACAAATCGTGATGGTGAAAACAAAACTAAACATACAATTAAAAAAAATTTTTTTTTCTTTATTTTAGAGAGAGAGGAAGGGAAAAGGAGAGAGAGATAGAGACATCAATGAGAGAGAGCATCGATTGGCTGCATCCTGCATGCCCCCCACTGGGGATTGGACCCACAACCTGGGCATGTGCCCTGACCAGGAACCAAACTGGTGACCTTTTGGTGCATGGGTCGATGCTCAACCACTGAGTCACACCAGCCGGGCACTAGACATAAACTTTAAAATTTCAAATTCATAAAAAGTGCATGGAAAGAAAAGGTGGATTCTGAATCATGGTGGCTTAAGGCAATGAGTTTCAAATTATTTTTTATAGCAGTCTGACTTTAATATTATTAATTTGCTGAATGAAGTATCATGAGAAACCGCAATATATGAAATAAATTGGAGCTGCTCTGAGGGCCCTTTATCTGCTTGGTCATCTCTGTAGGTGTCCTTGAGTCTACCATAGACCAATGTCAGAAGACGTGTCAAATTTAGACTCTGTCACTTGCTTGCAGTTTCACACTGGGGAAGTCATGTCATTTTTTTTTTACATGGTTTTCTCATCTATCAAATGAAGGAGCAGGTAGATCCCAGATCCTTTCAGTTCTGGAAATGCTTTCACGTCTTCAAGTTGGAGAACAGAGCTACTTTCATTTGAGAAAGCTTCTCATCAAAGGGAACTTCTAAAATATGATGAAAATAGTTAGTCATCGCTTACATCTCCTTCTAGGACCAGGACCCCGCCGCCTTTGGTGAAGACTCTCAGCTGTTGAATTCCTCCAGACATTATCTCAGCATCCGCTACACCCTGCTGCCCTACCTCTACACCCTGTTCTACCGCGCTCACACCCTCGGGGAGACTGTGGCGAGGCCCCTGGTCCACGAGTGAGTCTCCTAACCCACAAAGACATCTTTGCCAATCGTAGTTTCACTTCCCTTGTTAGTGGTAACGAGGTTCATTAGGACCTTGCTGCCATGTAACGAGCTGCTCTCCTATGCCGGAGCCTTCACCCGCCTTCTCTGTTTTCCAGGTTCTACCAGGACAATGCTACGTGGGGGGTGCACGAGCAGTTCTTGTGGGGGCCTGGACTCCTCATCACGCCTGTTTTGTACAAAGTGTGTTTATCATCCAAACAGTGGGGTGGGATGTCACACTGGTCCTCAAGGCTCGATAGCTGGATACGCCAGAGCCCAAGTCCCTTTGGCTGCATTGAAATATAAAGATGAATATAAATGAGAGAGAGATCATGAAAGTTTGGGAATTACAAAAGTAGTAATTCTGGGTCCCACTGCCTCACCAAGCACAAGAATTTCCCTTTTGCAGAATCACATTATAGCCCGTGTCCTGAAGCATATGGACATTGACAGGGCTGCAAATGCCTGGGCTGGCCACTTGTCTGTGCTTCCCTTTGAGCAGAGGGGGTGGGCTCTCAGGGTAGGAAGAAAGAAAAGGTGGGAGAGGAGCATGGAGGGACAGAGGAGTGCTGGGCAAGGAGAGATGGTCCGTGTGGAGTCCATGAATGAAGTGTGATTTAGGGCAACAGTGGGTTGGGAAGGGTGGGGAGGGATCTGGGTTATGCTGATTCGTTTGTAAACATGGAAGGTCATCAGTGCATTCATGTAAAAAGCCCTTGAATGTGGCATTTCAGCCACACCATCTCATGGCGGGTCCCGCTACCCAGCGAGTGGTCCTGCTGGAAGGCTCCTCCCACCTGTCAGATTACACAAGTAACTCATTGCATAAACTGTCTCTGCTTCTCTTAGAAAGTTCAGGAGCCTCAGAGCAAAACAAACTTAATTTCTGGTATAGCTTGTTTTGGGTCAAGTGCCCAACCTCTGAGGATCTGTATTTTTATTGGCAGAATGGCAGGATCCCAACTAGCTCTTGGGCTAGATCGGAGGAGTACATGCAACCACAGGTGGAGGTGGTGTGCAAACTATAAAGGGGTGTGCTAATGGTGCTCATTACTGTTGTTTCCCTAGGGTGTGGACCGCGTGAAAGCATACATACCCGATGCCATCTGGTATGACTATGAGACAGTAAGTGAGGTAGCCCCTTGGCCCAGATACCTGCACACTAAGGCAGTAGCCGTGTTGGGAGCTTGGGGTAGGATGATGGTAGGAGGTTTTGCATTCAGTTGATTGTGGGTACCTTTCCATGTGGAAGGCCTTTCCCAATGTACCATAAAATAATCTGAATCACTGGGCTAGGCTGATGGGAATGTTTATTATGGCAACCTGGCCGCTAGGCAGCTGTCAGAACTAGTCATTGGACTTAGGCTGTGATAACCTTGAGACTGAAAGTCCAGTTCTGGAATCAGAGCCTGGTGTAATACAAAGAAATAGGTGGGTTGGAGTCTCAGCTTTGCTATCTACTTACTACCTGTATGCCGTGGACAAGTCACTTCTCTTTTGTGTGTGTGTGTGTGTGTGTGTGTGTGTGTGTGTGTGTTGGGGTAGGGGTGTCCTTTGTTTTTCTCTTCTTTACAATGAAGCAGCTAAATTAAAAGATATCCAAGATCTCTTCTAGCCTGAACAGCCTATTATCTGATCTGTTTTCTCTTTTTGGTTAGGGAGTAGCCATCCAATGGAGGAAACAGTTGGTGGAGATGCCACTGCCCCCTGATAGGATAGGACTTCATCTTCGAGGAGGCTACATATTTCCCACCCAGCAGCCAAATACAACCACAGAGGCCAGGTGAGCTCCTTGCCCGTCGAAGGTGTGACTGCTCTCCTACTCCATGGGGCAGGGCATTATGGGAAGGGCTAATGTCAGGACTAAAAGTGTATCAACCCAGGGAAGACATTTCTAGTCAGTGATCGTCCTCCCCTCCTTTCAAGGTTGGCACCAAATCGGCACCTTAGTCTTCATTTAGAGGGTAATGTAGCCTCTTTTTTGCAGACTTTCACTTTAGGATTGAGTCAGATTATAAGAATAGTCAAATGATAACTCATGAGGATTTCCCTATGGTCAAAAACTGTCCTCAAGGAGATTTCCTTAGGCATGAGAGAATGCAAGTTAAATAGGAGATAAAAGTCAACATAGCTTCAAGGTCAAGAGCTACAACAGTTTGGGTTCAAGCCCCAGTTCTACGACATACCATTTGTGTTACGATGGCTCTGCTTGTCATTTGTAAACCAGGGATGATCACTGTTTGACTCTTTAGAGTTATGATAAGGATTGAATGAGATAACATAAGTGATTTAATGTCTATCAGACACTTCGAAGGGTTCCTGAAACATGGTAAGCACCTAACCGTGCTGACTGTTACCCAAACCCAGTTTTCAGCAGGAGCCGTTTCCTTTGACTTCTTTCCATGCTCATTCACTGCTAACCTCTGCTGTTGACCCTCGTCAGCTTTCTGTTTCCATCCAAGGTCAGGATCTACTCAGTTGCTAGGATAGACTCTGAGATGATCAGTCTGGGGGGCACGAAGGGGGCTGGTGTAACATAGTCCCATCTCTTCTTCATTCTCTGAAATGGAGAATTAATTGCTCTTTTGCAGCCGGAAGAATTCCCTGGGACTCATTATTGCCCTGGACTACAAGAGAGAAGCAAAGGGAGAGCTGTACTGGGATGACGGTGTGTCTGCAGGTAGATTTCCTCGTGGCACCACCACTGGTACTTGATGGGATTAGTCACTGAAGGCTGCCCATGTGGCACTCACCCTGTTACCACTGATGCTTATTTCTGTAGCTTAGACTCAATTTATTCTGCGGTTTGGTTGGCCAAGCACAATGCAATTAAAATAGATTTCAGATGAGCAACCCGTATGTTATTAACTCTACCAAAGAAACAAACATTATTGGATTGTGTTTAATTATTCTCTCCTCTGGGTATCATTGTTAATACCAAGTGATACATTTTGCTTGTAGGTTTGCAAAACACTTCTCTGGTTACTGTGGAGGGGAAGTATCTAATTGGTGTAGTGTGTTTTTCCACGGTAGGATTCCCATCTAAGTACCTCACATAAGCTTACAGATTATGATTATATAAAAATCCCGCCCTGCACAGAATGAGCATTGATTAATATTTCTTGGCTATTATTGCATGGAATACAGGAGATATAATGATGAGTATGACATTGACATTGCATTTGAGGGGCTCCTGGCCAGCAGGATAGATTCATTGTGCATGTGGGTAACTGTAATGCAAGTAAAAATGTTGTCAGTGACAGAAAAGGGCACTTCTAGCACCGCGGGAGTTCGGAAGCTGGAGCTGTTACTGTGGGTTAAAGTGGCCAGGGAAACGTGGCTAAGCAGAAGCAGATGGCAAAGGTACTCCCATGGGGGAAGTGCCCCTGCGTCCTAGGTGATGGGGACTTCCCTTTCTCTTTCAGATGCTGTAACTAAGAAGAATTATGTTCTGTATGAGTTTTCTGTCACCTCTGTAAGTACTGTTTCTGAGGAGCAGTCCATGCACATTCTTTTCTGTGACTGCTTCGAGTTTTAGGTTTGCTCTAGAAGTGTAGAACAGGGACAATGTCTGACTCCAGTGGTCCAGGGAAGGGTCCAGGTCCAATGAAAGTTTTTGGTCTGTGTTAGTACATAAGCCTATAAAAATTCAGCATGAGTCTATTGAAGAACTTGTGTGGTTTTTTTTATTTTGTTGTTATGTTTTTTTTTTTCTGGAAGCAGTTCATTGACTCTGAGTTTCATATGATGAGTCCTGGCTTCCAAGATGCGCCCTTATCGGGGGAGTGTGTATGGTTTGTGGGGTGTGGATAGGTTGGTGAGTAGTGCAGTGCATTCTTTGAGGTTCTTCTATCATGACCTTGCTTTCCGGCCCCTAAACTTGGCCTACCTTGGACACAGGTATGAAGTGGCAGTTTTGAGAGGTTGGAAGACACAGAACATCATTTGCATCATCTCTATTTCCTAAGGGTCCTAAGAGGATAAAAGGAGGTAGAGGAGGTAGTCTTGCAGGGGATGGGAGAATTCTAATCTGTTTTTATAGAAGTCTGACTGTGCTTGGGCAGAGATTTCTTTTATGGGGATCTCTCTCCCTTATATCCTTTCTTTTGCATTTATATATATATTTTTCAATTATACTTTATTTCTGAGATTATTATAGAGCCCCATGGAGTTGTAAGAAATAACACAGAGAGTTCTTTTACTCTTGATGCAGTTTCCCTGAATTGTTATAAAACAATAGTACAATTTCACAACAAGATATTGACATTGATGCTATCAAGACAGAGAACATTCCCCTCCTCCACCACAAGGATCCCTCCTGTTGCCCTTTTATAGTCACACCTCTAGCCCCTCCCCCTCCCCCTTTCTTACCCCTGGCAACCACTGTTCTGTCCTCCTTTTCTAAAATTTTGTCCTTTCAGGAATGTTATGTAAGTGGAATCATGCAGCATGTAGCTTTGGAGATTAGCTTTTTTTCACTCAACATAATTCCCTCAAAAGTCGTTCAAGTTGTGTATTCATAGCAGCATTGCAAGGTACGGATGTCCAGCTTTTGTTTAATCATTCACTTAATGTAGGGCACAGGGCTCCCTCCATCAGGGGCTATTGCAAATAAAGCTGTTATGGACAGCTTTTTTTGTGGACATAGGTTCTCACTTCTCTGCAATAAATGCCCATGAGTGCATTTGCTGAGTTCCACAGTAAGTGCATGTTTAGTTTTATAAGAAAGTGCCAAACTGGTTCTCAGAGGGGCTGTACCATTTTTTTTTTCTGTTAACCCTCACCCGAAGATATTTTTTCCATTGATTTATTGTTATTATTATTATTATTTTATTGATTTTTAAGGAGAGAGGAAGAGAGAGAGAGAGAAACATTGATGAGAGAGAACATCGATTGGCCACCTCCTGCATGCCCTGCACTGGGGATTGGGCCCACAACCTGGGCATATGCCCTGACTGGGAATCAAACAGGAGACCTCTTGGTGCATGGGTCGATGCTCAACACTGAGCTATATTGGCTGGACATTTCCATTGATTTTTAGAGAAAGTGGAAGAGAGGGAGAGTGTGGGGGAGAGAGAGAGAAACATCGATGTCAGAGAGATACCATCAACTGGTTGCATCCAACATGGGCCTAACTAAGGCTGGGGATTGAACCTGCAAACCAGGTATGTGCCATTGACCGGGAATAGAACTTGTGACCCTTCGGTCCACAGGCCAATGCTCTAACCGCTGAGCTGAACAAGCCTGGGCGGCTGTACCATTCTAGATTTTCAGCAGCAATGTATGCATCACCCAGTCTCTGTGCATCATAACTAGCATTTGATGTCATGATTTTTAAACTTTATTTTAGCCAGTCTGATAAGGGTCTGGTGAAATTTCATTGCAGTTTCAATGTGTATTTCTCTGGTGCCTAAAGATGGTGACTGCATTTTCATGTGCTTATTTGCCATTGTCTTAGGTGAAATGTCTGCCCAGATGCTTTGCTCATTTCTAATTGGATTATTTGCCTTATTTTTCAAGTCAGTTTTGAGAGGGTATTTATTTATTTATTTATTTATTTATTTGCTTTTGTTTTTTGTATTCTAGAAACCAGTCCTTTGTTGGATTTACAGCTTGTAAATACTTTCTTTCAGTCTGTAGACATCTCTTCTCATCCTCTTAATGATGTCTTTCACAGAACAAACACATTGAATTTTGATGGGTCTCATTTATCCTTTTTGTCCTTATGTGGATCGTGCCTTTTGGTGTCTAGTATAAGAACTCTTCCTAGCCCTAGATCTTGAGTATTTTCTCCTAAAATGTTTATAGTTTGGCTCGGCTGGTGTGACTCACTGGTAGAGCATTGACCCATGCACCAAGAGGTCACTGGTTCAATTCCCAGTCAGGTTGTGGGCCCGATCCCCAGTGGAGGGCATGCAGAAGGCGGCCAATCGATGTTCTCTTTCATTGATGTTTCTGTCTCTCTCTCCCTCTTCCTTCCTCTCTAAAATCAATAAAGAAAAAATAGTTTAAAAAAATTTATAGTTTAACCTTTTTACACTGAGTCGGTGATCTATTTTGATCTCTCTCTAATTATACATATAATTTTTATATTAGATGTGAAATTTAGGTGGAGGTTCCACCTTTTGCCTGTGTACATCCATTCGCCCCAGCATCCTCTGTTGAAAGGCTGTTCTTTGTCCACAGCATTGCAGACGTCAGCCGGGCATATCTGGGGGATGCCTCGTCTTTCTAAACATCAAAGTGTCCCCCTTCTTCCTTCAGTCTTCAGCTCCACCTTCTTTGTCATAGCTCAGCTTCATCACTTTTGAACTGTGGTTCCCGGAATAGGTTATCTGATTTCTCTGGGCTAGACTCTCCTCCTCTGAAAAATGGACATCATCGGAGCTTCAGCCTCCTGGCTTGCTTGAGAATTGAGCGAGATAATACATGTAAAATGCTGAGGGTGGCGCCCGGCACGGAGTAAGCATTTATACAGTTCAGCCCCAGCATTTTCATTGACATACGAAGAAAAGTTGTGTGGGCACTGTTTTGTGTGTATGTGTATTCTAACCCTGTGTGTGCCCATGGGGGTCTCCTGTGTGCTTCTGTTTTTTTGCTTATTTCGTTGGTATCTGTCTTACCTACTTGAAAATTCCATGATGTCAGTAACATATTTTCTGAGTAGTAGGATCAACAAATAACCAGTGGACCAAAGCAAGCATAAAATATTACTAAGAGATTTGGGACTGTTAAAGCATCTGGGTTAACAGATTTCTGGGAATGATCACCGGGCACCATTTAGACCCTCGGAAATAAAGGATATAAGGTAGATCTCAGAAAGAAAGAGAGTGTATGGGCACAGGTAGAATGTCATGTACTTGGTCTCTAAACTAACTTTTTTTTTTCCCCCAGAACCGTCTACAAGCAAAGATTATAAATAATAATTATAAGGACCCTGACAACCTCATGTTTACAGATATCATAATCTTGGGAATGGACAAGCAACCTACTGATTTTGTGCTTAATAATAATAATGCCATTTTAAACGTTACCTACAGCGCATCAACGAAGGTGGGCAATTGTTCCATCCTGTGATCCTGCAGGGCCCTTGCCAGAGAGGCCCTGGCCTGAGACTGGCAGCCAGCTCCCCCTTACCCTGTTGAGTTTGGATGGGCACAGAGATCACTGGCATGCTGGGAAATCTACCACACCTTAGGGAGGACACAGGGAGAAACATATGCCTGCTAAACACAGACCCCTACACTTTGTCTGGTGGGATTCTGAGAAGGCAGGTCTTCTCTGGGCAAACTTAAAACTAGACATGCAGATCCCACGTGGGATGCAGTTCGATACGTTGTTATTCAAACTATATTATTTGATGTGTTGGCCTAGTCTCGGAGGGCATTTACACACTTGCCCTCGCATTGAAGTGCAAGACTCTCTTTGAGATACAGCTGGTATTTTTCCTTAGTGTTTGAAGCAACTTTTAGGTCATTATAGAAAGTGAGAGTTTAATAAAACACCAGAGGTCATCGGTTTTGTCCTTATTGAACGATTCCCTTACACGATAATCTTAGACAAAAGATTCCAATTGTTGCTTGAGTATTTCAAGTTCTGGGCAATTCATTATTCTTGAGGGAGGCCCCCTTCCATGTAGACAGCGCATATAGCAAAGGATAGGAGCTTGGTTTCTAGAGTTAGGCCCCAGGAGACTCCAGTCCTAGCTCTGCCATCGCTTAGCTGTCAAATCTTGGGCAAAGAAAGCATTAAACCTCTTGAACCTGTCTTCTGTTTTGTACAATAGAGATAGCCACCCTTTTTTTCAGCATAGGATTGCTTTATAGCATCAAAAGAGAGAATATAAAATAATTACCACGGTGCCTGGCCCCTATCCATGCTCAATAAAACTTAGTGATGGTCACAACCGCCATCGTTATTAAAATGGACGGGCATCGCTTCCAGAAGGCAGTCACCTAACGATGCAGCCCTGCCTATGATCAGCACTCCTCGACATGATCGAAGCCCTCCCCATTCAGTATCTCATGGGGACCCCACGAGGTGAGAAAGGTCAGGAATGAGCCAGGTGCATCTTCCCAAAGGAGAAACCATGATGTTCCAGCTATCTATTGCAAAGTGGGATGGGTTGTAGGGCTCGGTCCCCTAGTCCTGGCTTCCTGGCCATCAGGGAGGGACAGTATCCAGGTGTTTACCTCTCCTCATTTGTTACCAGGGCCTCCTTTCTTTCCTTAGGTGGTAAAAATCACTGATCTCAACGGACTGGTGCTGGGACAAGAATTCTCCATTGGGTGGAGGCTTTCCGTCAGTGACCTAGAGAAGTTCAACTGCTACCCTGAGGAACCCACTGCCTCCGAGGAGATGTGCCGGAATCGGGGGTGCCTTTGGGAGGTAGGGAGGAGGAGCAGGTTACCACAGTGAGCCGGGAGTTCTAGAAACTGCCCATGAGTGTTAGGCACCCAGGAAACACTTCCTGAAGCTTGCTCCGTGGAGCAGGAATCAATGTTCAGCTCTGAGTGGTAGGTAACGTGTCTTCCTCGGGTGTCCGGAAGGAGAGGAAACCCATCGCTGCCCTGGCTCATGCTCCCCTAACCACCTCAGTTTAAACCCCACTTTTATTTTTCACATAGCAACAATGTATTCTGCATGGAGTATGTCCAGTGATTTTTTTTTTTCTTTTTCATCTATCAGACAAGGTGTGAGTCAGAGAGAGAATGAAAACCAGGGGAAATAAGTGATTTCCTCAATGTCACAATGGGGGCAACTGTCTCATGGCAAAGTGGCGGAGCTTTGGGACACCCACCAGTCTCCAGATCAAGCTTCCTGCCGACCCGTCACTACTCCCCTGTGACAGGAGGCCTGTGTGTGTTGTCAGTGATGTGTTTGCTCGCGAGGGCAGACATCACAAAGTGCCCTGAACTAGGTGACTGAAAACGACAGAGATGCGTCATCTCAGTGTTCTGAGAGCCGACGCTCGAAGTCCTGACGTCGGCGGGTTGGTTCCTCTCCAGGGCTGCGAGGGAGCATAGGTTCCATGTCGCTCTCCTAGCTTCTGGTGGTTTCCTGGCACTCTTTGGTGTCCCTGGCTTTATAAAAACATCACCCCAATTTATGCCTTCATCTTTACATGGTGTTCTTTCCCCAGACGCACCTCTGTCTCTGTGTCTAGGTTTCCCTATGTAATAAGGACACCCGTAAATATTGGATTAGGCCCACCCTAAAGGCCTCCTTTAACTAGGTCATCTGCAAAGACCCTGTCACCAAATAAGGTATCAGGTGTTAGGACTCAACATCTTTTCGGGGGAACATAACCGAGCCCATACTAACAGGCACGGTCAAAGACGTAGTCTGTGTTAACCAACTCCTATAGCAGTCAGAGCCTCCGAGTGTGGTGTTGGAGGCTGGCTGAGAATTCCCTCTCATTGCAGCACACAACTGCTCCTGGCGTGCCCGCCTGCTTCTATGACACTATCCCTAGCTATGCTGTCAGTAACATTCGGAATTCGCCCACTGGCATCACCTTAGACCTTACCCACCTGAAGGCCCCCGAGTCGGCACGAGCAGCTGCACCCCCACCACCACGGGGCGCGCCACCTCCACCTGCCGCCGCTGCCTCGGACCCTCTGTCTGCAAAGATCAGCTCCCTGACGCTCAGAGTAATCTACCACACAGAAAGCATGCTGCAGTTCAAGGTAAGCCCCAGGTGCAGAGTGTGGTCCTCACCTTGGAGTTCTTGTGGGTGGAAGTCACCGAAACGTCTTTAGTCTAAATCCCTCGTTTTAGGGATGAGGGTTCTGAGGCCCAGAGAGGTAAAGCTCAGACAGCCAGGAGCTAGTAGAGCCAGAGTGGGGCCTTAGATCCACCAGGACTGTCCGTGTCCTATAATGATCTCTCTAAGTCAGAAAGATCCTCAAAGAATCACTCCTTAGCTCTGAGAAAAATGTGTCTGCTTTTCGGTAAATTCGTACGAGTGGCATTCACTGGCCACTTCCAACATGAGTTATTTCTCCAGCAGTTGATACTTCAATTTAATATGCATCAGAATCCCCTGAGGATCTAGTAAAAAGTCAGATTGCTGGGCCTCAGGCCCAGGGTTTCCACCCCAAGAATTTGCATTTCTAATACGTTTTGAGTAAGTGATGCTGATGCTGTCAATGAAGGGGCCTGCCACTTTGCTCAAATAAAATACGATGTGAGCCACAGAGGTGTATTTGCTAATAACCATGTTTAAAAAGGTGTATTTGAAAAAAAAACAGGTGAAATCTATTTTAATAGCATTTTTCTTCGCCAAGGTGCTCAAATGTTATCATTTCATCGTGTAATCCAAATACAATTATCGACATGCTTTAGAATCTTATAATCATATGAAGTCTTTAAAATCTGGTGTGTATTTTGCATGCAGAGTGAGCCTCAGTTCAGACTAGCATACTTAAAGGGCTCAATGGCCACACATGGCTGGTGGATACCACCTCGGACAGCTCACTTTAGATGTTTCTTTTTACATTTTATTTTAATAAAAAAATTTTTTTTCTTTATTGATTTTAGAGAGAGAGGAAGGGAGAGGGAGAGAACTATAGAAATATTGATGAGAGAGAACATCTATTGGCTGCCTCCTGCATGCCCCCCAGTAGGGATTTGGCCCATAAGCTGGACATGTGTCCTGATCAGGAATTGAACCAGCGACCTCTTGGTGCATGGGTCGACGCTCAACCACTGAGCCACACCAGATGGGCTCTTTTCACATTTTAATGTTGAGTGAATCACCCCAGGGATCTTGTGCACATGAAGATTCTGATTCAGAAAGTCTGGGGTGGGGACAGAGATACTGCATTCCTAACAGGCTCCCAGATAATATTGCTGCTTTTGGTCTGAGAAACAGAATTTTGAGAAGCAAGGTTTTCACCAGGCCCTAAACATAATATGTGGACTCATACTATTATGAGAAAAAGGGCGGTGACTCATAATGGCCATGCTACCCCACCTGGCATAGCACTGTGCCCTTCTCTCCTTTGCCCACACAACAGCCCTGTTAGGTAGGTACCAAGGAGCACTCAGCAAAAGCTGAGCAACATCTGGCAGCTCACCTGTTGAGAAGATCTCAGAGTTCGTTCAAAAACTCAGTTCTCTAACTTCCAACCTACGTACACGTGCTGACGCATAGTCTTACAGTTACATGCACACACCTGTTCACATGCCACCCTCCTAAAGACACACGCACACCTTCTGTCTGTGAGATCCTGTACCCTCAAATTACAAATTCCCTGGAGGAAATGCCCTCCCTGGCTTTGAGTGGGTATTGCTGAGGCATTCTTGCAGTTCAGGATCTGTACTGGGCGGAGCGGGTGGACAGGCCTCGCATCTGTCTGCTTTGGGACATTTGATGCTTCCTGCTGGGAAGTGAATTTTGTGAGCTGGCATGAAGGGTTTGGGGTTTGAGGTTCCCTCAGAAAGTCTCTCTCTTTTTCTCCTTGTCAGATCTATGATCCCACTAATAAAAGGTATGAGGTCCCGGTGCCACTGAACATCCCTCCCTCTCCTGTGGGCTCCCCGGAAAACCGTCTGTACGATGTCAGGATTCAAAGCAATCCTTTCGGGATCCAGATTCGACGGAAAAACTCCAGCACTGTGATGTAAGCCCTCTTTCCTTGGTTCTAATTAGAGTGGTTTTGATCTACGTACTGTGGTTCTAATTAATGCAAGTGAAATATTAACCTTGGAGACACCGTGGGGGTGCGTGTTTGTTAGTTTTTTTAAACAGAGAAGATATCGATTCCCCCTACTTCAATGGGGATTTCATGTCCTATGAGTCATCAACTCAACAAGAACAGTGAATCAACCAAAGGTTTTAAAGTACTAAGTGTTGCTTGAGTTCAGAAAAAGAAAGATACATGTTCTATGCAGTGTTCTTGTGAAGTAGAACAGAAAACGTCATATGCCTCATTAAGAAATAATAACAGAAGAGTCAGGAGAGAGGGGCAAGGGTTAGTAAGGAGAGAAAAATGGTGCCTTATAATTTTTGCTTCTGTTGACACTGTAGACTCACAGCCTTTTCACAATGTTAAGCATGGCAAGAATTGTCACCTCTCATCCCTGTCCTGCTGCTGAATGGCATGGACCACAGTTCTGGGTTTTGCCTGGGGCTGAAGCTCTCCATCTGAATGGAAACCATCACCTGTGTGCGCATGTGGACAGCCACCGGCTCTCTTTGATTATGTGTCTGTTGACTTTTTTTTTTTTTTTCATATTTTCTTTATTGATTTTAGAGAAAGAGGAAGGAGAGGGAGAGAGAGAGATAGAAACATCGATGAGAGAGAACATCGACTGGCTGCCTCCTGCCTGCCCCTCACTGGGGATTGGGCATGTGCCCTGACTGAGAACCAGCAACCTCTTGGTGCATGGGTCAATGCTCCACCTGTGAGCCACACCAGCCGGGCTGTTGACTTCTTTGGCAAGAAGTTCTTTGGCCAATCTAAAAAATCATTCTGAGTTTCATACTTTTCTATTGGTAAATTTGCTTGGACCTTATTCATCGATTCAAGCTGAGATGCTAGGCAATGAAAACTAGAAACACACACGTAAGTGAGACTCTCAAGAGTCCACCAATCAGAAAAGGAGTTGCCAGTCTTGCAAACCACAGAATAGAAATGCAAACACAGAACCTTGGTAGCGAGTCACAGCCATTCTCGTGACCGGGGTCATCTCACAGTATTTGCACCTGGATCCAGGTGTTCATTATTCAGGAGGCTTCTGAATCAACCAGAGATCCTAAATGTATCCCCTGTTTGCTCCAGCCTGTTATCAGCTAGCTTGAAGGTATGCCTCTGTGTTGCAGTTGGGATTCTCAGCTCCCTGGCTTTGCCTTCAATGACATGTTCCTTTCCATTGCTACTCGCCTCCCCTCTAAGAACATCTATGGCTTCGGGGAAACCGAGCACACAACTTTCAGAAGAAACATTAGCTGGAACACGTGGGGACTGTTTGCTCGAGATGAGCCACCAGCGGTAAGTGCAGAAGAATAAGATCATCGACCAGCTTCTATCTGTGTAAATGTATTTTAATCCCTATATGGTACCCTGTTCATCAACGTCAGCTTCTGTTGATAAATTCCGTGCTCAACTGAAATAGGCCACATGTTATATAATGTCCTTTTGTCCCTAAATGTCTTTTAGAATTTATATATATATATAGATATATATATATATATAAAATACACTCACACACACATATATTCCATGTAGATTATAAATTTTATGTCATAAACTTTTATTTAATGTACTTTATGTGTCAGGCAAACATAGAATAGCAAAACACTGCCTTTATTCTCCAGAGGCTTAGTGAGAGAGACACAGAAATACTGATAACAGGTATCAGTCAGTGCTATAATAGAATGATGTAATAATAAATAAGGAGGGCATGGAGGGGCTTCACCTTTTACTTGGGGTGAAAGGGAAGGTCCAGGGAGACTTCATAAAGAACATGACATTGTGCTATGTCTTTATTGTTGAGTAGGAGTTGGCTGTTTGGGTTATATGGTGGGCAGAATTTTTTGTCTTTTCTTTTTTTGTTATCTATCTGCTCTCCCCATGACTGTCCCAGTACAAGAAGAATTCCTATGGCGTCCACCCCTACTACATGGGACTGGAGGAAGATGGCAATGCCCATGGAGTGCTTCTGCTAAACAGCAATGCCATGGGTAAGAAAGAGACACCTTTCCTGTGACTACTTTATCAGAATCGGAAATATCAATAAAAATAAGAAATCCAATTAAAAATGGGCAGAGGACATAAATAGACACCTCTCCAAAAAGAACATAGAAATGGCCAAGAGACAGGCTCAATGTCACTAATCATAAGACAGATGCAAATTAAAATGACTATGAGGTATCATCTTACACCTGCCAGAATGGCTGATGGCTGCCATCAACAAATCATCAAACAACAAGTGCTGGCGAGGGTATGGAGAAAAGAGGACTCTAGTACACTGCTGGTGGGAATGCACACTGGTGCATCCTCTATGGAAAACAATATGATGTTTCCTCAAAAAATTAAAAATTGATCTGCCATTTGACCCAATGATCCCACTTCTAGGAGTATATCCTAAGAAGCCTAAAACACCAATGAGAAAGAACATATGTACCCCTATGTTCATAGCAGCACTACTTATAATAGCTAAGATATGGAAACAGCCCAAGTGTCCATCAATAGATGAGTGGATAAAAAAGCTGTGGTACATATACACAATGAAATACTATGTAGCTGTAAGAAAGAAAGATCTCATCCTTTGAGACAACATGGAGGGACCTGGAGAGCATTATGCTAAGTGAAGTAAGCCAATCAGAGAAAGACAAATACCATATAATCTCACCTATTTGTGGAATATAATGAACAAAACCAGCTGACGAACAAAATAGACCCAGAGACATAGAAAGGAGTACGGTTCAGACTGACAGACCTCAGAAGAGGGGGGTGGGAGGATGTATGAGATAAACCAAAGAACTTATATGCATGTAAGCATAACCAATGAACAGAGACAACAATGCTGGGGGTTGGGGGGGCAGGATGGTGAGGAGGGTTCTAGAGGAGAAAAAGGAGAAACATCTGTTACAAAAATAAATTAATAAAAATTGAAAAAAAAATGCAAAGGCAAGGGAAATGGGACAGATAACCTGACCTTTCATTTATTCATTTATTCATGATTTATTAAGATCTGTAGGCCAGGTATTGGGAGTAAATTTTGTTTTTTACAGAGAGAGAAAGGGAGAGGGAGAGAGAGATAGAAACATCAATTGGCTGCCTCCATCATGCTCCCTATGGGAGATGGAGCCTGAAACCCAGACATGTGCCCTGACCAGGAATTGAACCTGTGACCCCTTGATGTATGGAACGATGGTCAACCAGCTGAACCACACTGGCTGGGCTTGGGAGTAAAATTTTAACTAAACATGGTCCCCACTTTTGTATGACCTTGTTTTGCTGTGCCATTTTAATTCCTTTCATAGAGTGTTAGAAAATGTTGAGATTGAGATTATGTTTGGGGATCTGAAAATCCATCTCTGATTCCACTGCATGAGAGAAGACTTTCCAGAGGAGGTGGGAACTGAAGGAAGAGAGTCATAGCAAATATTAGGCAGATTCCCTGTCTGGGTAATTGAGAGTTCCAAGGATGCTCCTCATCTTTTTTTTTTTTTTTTTTTTTTAACAGATGTGACATTCCAGCCCACTCCTGCCCTGACATACCGCATCATAGGAGGGATTTTGGATTTTTATGTGGTTTTGGGGCCAACCCCCGAGCTTGTAACTCAGCAATATACAGAGGTCAGAAGTCATTTTATTGATTAATAAACCATCCAGTGCTTATTGGGTATTGCCACATTCTTAGCATTGAGAAAGGCCAATTTTATTTGTTATGGCCCTTGAGTGTCCCTACTACATTTTCTCTATCTTGTATGAGAGTAGGGTTTTTGTGTTGAGGGATATTGATATCCCATATGTCTCTTAATTATTTGCTGTAAAACCTTTCTAAGACTCTCTGATCAGTAATAACCACTGAATTTTTAGATTTCTTAGAGCAGAAGCTCTGGAATACAGGGAGAGTTTCTATCATTCTGCACCCCCATGATTATTCCACCTTTATTTGACTTTCTTATTTTACTTGAATGAGGCCTCATAGGTCAGACAATACTCAGCAGAAGTGAGCAGTTGCTTCAGGCATAAGCCAACTATCTCTTCTTCCTTAAGAATCTCCTTGGATTCATTCTTCTTTTTTATTCTAGTTGGTCGGTCGGCCAGCAATGCCGTCATACTGGGCCTTGGGATTCCAGCTGAGTCGCTATGGATACCAGAATGATGCTGAAATCTCCAATTTGTATGATGAGATGGTGGCAGCCCAGATTCCCTATGTATGAAGCCCTCACACAGCCTGTGATTTAATTAGTTATGGGAATGTGTGGTTAATTGTAGATTGAAAATATCTATATAGACATTACTTCAGTGAAAAGAAAATGGAGCTGTGGAGTTAGTCCTGTGTGGGAACATTGCTTTTTAAATTTACTTCATGTTACCCTTTTTAAACCCAGGGTTCAAAATTGAAGGGTATAAATCCTTCAGAAGTCAGCAGAGGATGTTTTTAATTACTATCTCTTGTCAGAAATATCTTACAGCAGCCATGGTTGGTCTTAAGCCATGACTTTGGGGACTTCTAAGAGAGAATCATATCGAGATTATGACAATTTTAGGAGATTATACATGACTCTTTTTGGAGAGAATGGATATAAAATGGCAATATGAAAGAAAGTAGTTAAATTCAAGCCTTCACTTAGACTTAAACACAAATACTCATAAGTGTAGTGTTCTACAATGAAACCTAGACCCTAGAAGTTCAAACAATTGCTGTCAACAAGCAGAATTCCACAAATAGCATGTTCTTTCTCTCTTATAAATGATGCAATTCTTATCACACATTCTCTGCCTCTGCTTTTAACTCACCTCCTGAGATTTGGAGGTCAATTAATGACTAGCAGATGAGAAGAAAGTGTTATGATGTTCTCATCAAAGATAATTAGAAACATTTTACTGAGGCTTATTTTTTCTTTCTTTTTATACACTGCTATTCTAGATACTTACTAAATATAAATTAGAAAATATAGGAACATTAAAAGATGAAAAACTCCATAGATCTATCTTGCCAAGCCAATGTTAATAATTTGTTGGTCCATTCTTTTCTAAGCTTTGGCTTACTCACAGGTCTATGCTCCCTCAAACAAGTTTTACCCAGAGTCTTAAGACAATACAGGTGATTATCACCTTTAGGCTAAAAAAAGATGCATCTCTTTTTTTCCAATGAATAGTACAATCTTGAACTGAGTGCATTTCATGTGCAGAAACCTAGGTTGGTTGGTACTTTATTGAGAAAAGGGAAGACAAGGTTCTCATCTCAAAATGGAAACAGTAAATACATTTCAGAGTGCTATAAAATAATGTAGTTCTTAAATGTGAATAAATTCAGTCAGGTTTACTAGAGGGAAAAAGAGAAAACAGATATACAATCTTTCCTGTTTGTCAGGGGAGTCCTGCTTTCTCCCCTTAACCATTTAACTAGCTCACCATGGATGAGATAGAAGAGTGGAAAAGGCATGAATTGTGGGGAAGGAAAGGGGAGAGGATTCCAGTGTGGGGGGAGGGGCAGAAGCAGAAGGAATGGGAACAGGTGATCTGTATGCAAGAATCAGAGAGCAATTTTAATCATCAGAATTGAAAAGTCTGGCTAGGAAAATAATGAGGTAAATTCAGAGAGACCTGGGCTGGGGTCAGCAAGCAGCTGTCCTGGAGCCTGAGGGGTACTGCTGCAGGATCCCAAACACCTTGCTCGCCCCTTCCTGTAGGATGTCCAGCATGTAGACATCGATTACATGGACCGGAAGCTGGACTTCACCCTCAGCAACAGCTTTCAAAACCTTGGTCTCCTGATGGAGCGAATGAAGCAAAAGGGCATGAGATTTATCCTTGTTCTGGTAGGTACTTACAAAAATTAGATCTCATTTTCTGTTTCTTTGTTCACGGTTTAAAAATAGCATCATTGAGGGAAATGACATAGAAAGTACAGAACAAGTCCCCATACATTTTTGCAACTTCCTGTGGATCTATAATTATTTTATTTTATTTAATTATTTTATTTTAAGTTTGACAAAGCAAATAAAGGAGGAAAGAACCAGGCTTTGCAAAGATGATACTTTACCATCTTTATTTTTCATGACTGGGTGTAATTTATTATTACTGTTCTCCTGGTAGAGTTAGGAGAACTGGGGGTTAAAATACTGAATACAGAAAAAAAAAAAGTCTCCCTGTTTCAGGCCGTGCCTCAGAATAGCTGAATCTCAGTCTCATCTTTGCTGTAGGGGTTTCAGAAGCCTAGGTTTCGTCATCATCCAGCAATGGGGAGGCTCAGAGGACTTATTTCTCCTTAATTAAGCTCACAAACAACCTGGAGAAGATCCAGGAGACCAATTTATTATTTTACATTGGAGGATATCTCTTGATTAAACACAGAAGTAGTTACCTGCAAAGGGTTCTTCCTTCTAGCTTCTAAAAATTAGAGCATTATTTGCTGACTTTTGTTCATTCATTCATTCAAGTATTTATTAAACACCAAGTCTTTAAAAATCGCCATTAGAAAAGGGGTGTATTTGCGTGTGTGATGTAAATTCATGAAGACGACAATGTCCTTATAGGGATTATATTCTATTAAAGGAATAGAGCCAATAAATGAACATTAAAATATAATCCCAGGTAGTGATGATTTATATGACAATTGTGAAATAGGATACTCTTATAGAAAGTAATTATGGAAGGTAAGGGGTGGGGCTAATGGGAAGGTCTGGCCACAGAGTAGAAGAAAAAGGTCTCGTGTTCTTAAGGAATATTGCTATGACACTGGGAACACAGTAAGTTGCCTTTCCCTGTTTGACAGTAGTATCTTGTTAACCTGGTTTCTCTCCAGGAATTCTTTTCAAACATTAGCATGCTTCCTGCCCCCCGCTCCTCTGGCATTTTATAGAGAAACATCAATGTATTATTTTACCTCTCAACTACGCAGTAGACACACTGCAAATTATACATGGGTTGTGTTTGTTTGTTTGTCTGTATTGAAGTTCATCATTTCTTCCTGTACTGTAAATTGTTACAATTTTGGAGCTCACTTTTCTTGAAAATCTTTTCCTCATGTTTTCTGTTTTAAACCATTTTGTTGCAGGATCCAGCCATTTCTGGCAAGGAGACCCAGTATCTTCCATTCACCAGAGGGCAGGAAAACAATGTATTCATCAAATGGCCCAACAACAGTGATATTGTCTGGGGAGAGGTAAGGATTGGGGGGAGATGCCTATAATTAATCAGCATCACAATGTCTTGATTGAAAGAGGCTCTTAATAAACTTTGGCAAAATGTATTGAGTAATTTATAAATTATGAATGAGTAGAAAGCTGTCTGATATTGATTAGCTTAATGAACGTTAATAAGATCAAGGTCAGAGGTCTAAACCTCTAAAATAGCAGTGATTTTTGTTTAATTGCCTGGAAATATTCTAGTGTCCCACCCCTATGTAAGCTAGCTGGTCATTTAACACCTGACTCCAGATGCCGGTAGCTCTCAGCCAGGATTAGGACTCTGCTCTGTAATCACACTGAGCTGCTTTCTGTTGTTCTGGGGATGTACAATGCTCACTGTGCCTTTGCATGTTGCCTTCTCAGCTTATCCAAATAGTATCTGCACTGAAGGCCAACTAAACATTCCCTCTTCTGAAGCACTCAATGCCTGGTTTGGCTCTCTATTCCTGCCTTTTCTATATTGCTGCCTGCAGAACATGGAGCATACAATTTAGCCCTTATGTTCCCTCTTTGAACTTTCAGGAAATAAGGACTGTTTCTTACTTAACTCCTAGTAGATACAGACCATAGAAGAGTGCCTGGCATACAGAAGTGCCGAATGAATGAATATATATATATATATATATATATATATATAATATATATAGTTAATGCCCTTCCAATTATAGATGAAATTGGTCGATGATATGGATTTTTGAATGCTACATACACTTGGGGTTCCCAATAAGTCATGATGCTGCTTAAAATATTGAGGCTAAGTTTATGGGTTGTAAATGGAAATTGATTGTAATCCTCTAGGGTCACACTTCACATTTGTTATTTATAAAGGGAATTTTGTTATAGGCCCACGACAAGCATATCAGAGAGCTGAATAATCATCTGAAAGGTGATTGTTCACAGGACATATTTAAAATGTATGTAGTTGATCGTTAAGGTCAAACTAGAAATTTTGGTAACTTATGGAGTAAGTTAAGAAACCCAGCCTGTTTTCACCTAACAGAAGTTCATTACATTCAGAACTTAGAATTTAATGGCAAAGGTCCCCCAAATTTTTATGGATATGCATGTCATCAGAATCTCACATGTGAAACACCTCATTGCTTATTTCTTCTTCTTCTTTTATTTTTTATTGTATTACAGATGTCTCCCATTCTTCCCCCCTCCACCTAGCCCCCACCTCACCCTGGGCCTTCACCACACTATTGATGTGTTCATGGGCTATGCCTATATGCATATAAGTTCTTTGGTTCATCTCTTCCTATTTCCTTCACTCCTTTCCCCTCTGAGATCTGTCAGTCTGTTCCATGCATCCATGCCTCTGGACCTATTGTGTTCATCAGTTTATTTTGTTCATTAGATTCCACACATAAATGAGATCATGTGATATTGGTCTTTCTCTGACTAGCTTATTTCACTTAGCATAATCTCTGGGTCCATGCTGTCACAAAGAGTAAGATATCCTTTTTTACAGCTGCATAGTATTCCATGGTGTAAATGTACCACATCATTTTTATCTACTCATCCACTGATGGGCACTTGGGCTTTTTCCAGATCTTAGCTATTGTAAATAGTGCTGCTATGAACACGGGGGTGCATATCTTCTTTCTCATTGGTGTTTCAGGATTCTTTGGATGTATTCCCAGAAGTGGGATCACTGGGTCAAATGGCAGTTTCATTTATAATCTGTTGAGGAACTTCCATACTGTTTCCACACCAGTCTGGAAGCCACACCAGTGGCTACACCAGTCTGCATTCCCATCAGCAGTACACGAGGGGTCCCTTTTCTCTACATCCTCACCAGCACTTGTAGTTTGTTGATTTATTGCTGGTAGCCATTCTGACAGGTGTGAGGTGAGACCTCATTGTAGTTTTAATTAGCATCTCTGTTGATTAGTGACATTGAGCATTTTTTCATATGTCTATTGTAATTGGTTAATTAGCTCTAAGTTGAGTGTGCTTGTCACCTGGTAATTTCTTGCCAGAAAAAAAAGATGGAAAGCTCAACAAGCAACTAAACTGGACATGTGTAGGAGGAAATCGTAAGTGAAATACTTTACATGTGTGCCTGGAATGGGTTGCTTTGTTTCGATCTACTGTTGGTTGAGAAATAATGAGCCAAAGTATAGAATATTTTCACTAGAGAGGTTATGAACAGACTGTCAATGAATTGTCCACATGTCTTTGAACTCAGCACTTGCCCTCACGTCGGCTTGGGCATCTGGTATCTTACCCACTCTGTAGCTCGCTTTTCCCTGGATGCCAGGTCTTCATTCAACCAGTGTAGAAAAAGCATTCGTAGCTCTGAAGTTTCATAGTTTGGACACTGGCAGTTAACTTTCCAGTTCACATGATTAAATGTCCAGTCATAAAATGAATCCTCTGTTTAAAAGGGACTTAAGACTATCTAACGTTCTAGGAAAATAAAGAATCAAAGCAGCCTTCCGCGATCTCTTTGCATCCACAGTAAACCGTGTGCGGCAGCAGCAGACCTGGGTTAGGTCTCATCCTGACGGGGGCAGTGCTGTGCACAAGCTCCTGCTCATCTTGCCTCCCTGGTCCCCACTCTCCCCTCCCTGGTCCCCACACGCCCCTCCCTGGAAGGCTGAGACCCGGTGTGAGAGCCTGCGTTCCTCTTTCAGCTGTACGGAGCCCAGGTTGCGTATCCTGACTTCATGCGCAACGGCACGGCTGCGTGGTGGAAGAACGAAATTGCTGAGCTCTACCTGAACCCTAGAGACTCAAAGAAGAGCTTGAAGTTCGATGGACTGCGGATCGTACGTGTGTCCTTAGTGGGCTTTCTTTGGAAGTTCTAGTAGTACAAGCGTGGGGAGGCGATTCAGAGAATAGCAAAGCAAGTAGCTGGGGCTGGAGGGATAAAAAAAAGGGATGCTGGTACAGAATGGGGGTGCTGGGACCAGCAGCAGACACAAAGGGAGTTGCAGGTCTGCCCAGGGACATTGTCTGGAGGAAGTCGGAGACCAAGGGGGAGATGTGCCGCCCCTGGAGATGATGCCAGGGAAAAAGGCAGCAGATAACCTGGATTCTCTTATCTCCAATCCTCCAATCTCTTGCCACTGCCTCTCATTGGCCAAACTTACCCAGAAGCCAACAGTGAGGGAGCCGGGATGCAGGTGCTGTGATACAGGGCAAACTTGTGGCAAGGAAGGCCTGAATCCGAGACAAGATTCACCACAGTGCTGGCGGCGACCCCTCTGAGGGAATGGACTCAAACAAAGGCCTGTTCAGACATATGTTATATATATCAGTTGGGCATAAGAGCAGGGCTTCCTGAGATGTCTCTGGGACATGTGTCCAAAGTCTCTTCTATTTCTGTCTCTCTAGGCCACCAATCTCTTTCCCCACTGCCCAGTGGCCTGACCCCTGAGCATATTCTAGACTGTCTCTGAATTGCTCCTTGGGTCTGGACCAGGCTGCGAGAAGCCTGTGATTGTCCCAGAGACAAATCTCTAACCCACTGGCAGCACTGGGGTAGCCCTGGCCACTCCCCTGCAGGTACACAGCCCAGAGCAGACACCCCAAAGGGCAAAGGTGGACCCAAACAGGCAAAGCACATGGTGAAGAGGTGTAGCACCCTTCTTGCATTTCAGTAATGAACTTCTGCAGGTAGTATTGATTTTCAGATTTGTTTCGGAGTTACCCACATCTTTTCAGGACTGCATCTACTGCAGAAAGTGAGACCCTTCCCCTCATGCTCAGACTATGCTGATGTCCGAATTAGTCCAGCTGTTGGACTAAGAAGGAGTAGGGGAAGGTAATAGTAATCATTGGCCCCAGATAGGAAGTAAGTAAAAAAGGGAGATTAAATGGGCGGTTGAATCAAGAGGAGATGTTCTTAGGTCATAGATCCAGCATAATCTCAATGTTTTTGTCACTATGAAACAATCCTCACCAGATCAACAACACAAACTAAACTGGGAGTTTAACACTCTCCTTCAACCAATGTGAATTCTTTGAGTCAAGTTGGGTCGATGCCTAAGATTAACCAGAGTCAGTGAAGCAAGCGGCCCTGTGAGGGCTTAAATAAGATCTTTTGTCTCCCAAGCCAAGGCCATACTGCCTCCTACATCACAGACTCTTTTTTTTCTAATTTGTTTCAGGATAAGAATGAGCCGTCAAACTCTGTGGATGGGTCTGTCAGGGGCTGCAGTGAAGACATTCTTAACCATCCACCTTATATGCCGAGTACGTAGAATGATTACTTCCTTAAACGACTTCCCTGTTCAAAAACCCTGAATGTTTTCCCCTTGTTGTCAAAGTGAAGCCTCATTTTGGAGAGAGAAAACACTCTTAAACACGAGGTAAAATACCAAATGGAATAACCTTGAATACGTGCAAATAAATAAATTACAAATCAAGCATAGAAGGAATGACTTGATGAGGTATGAAGGAAAGTAAGCAATGTATGGTACATCTCATTACATGGATAACTATGAACTAATTGCTAAAACCTTACCCTATCCCCCTGCCCCATGGTCTTTTGATTAGAGAATGAAAATCTAGTCTCTGCACTCTCTCTGCCTGTGTTCACAGACACTTCATGAAGGACAGGCCCTGGTTGTCCTATGGTCCAAACAGGAATAGACAGTCATAGGAAGCGGGGATCAAAGGCATCTCAGGAAGTTGAACTCTCTCACCTTACAGAAACATGCAAGGAAGAGACTCACCTTCCTAGAAGCACCATGCTAGTAATTGTGGGATGAAATCTGGAATCCCAAGTTTTTTCATGTCTAGGTCACTGCTGTGCTTCTTATTTTTCGGCAACTCTCTCCCTCCCTCCCTCCCTCCCTCCCTCCCTCCCTCCCTCCCTCCCTCCCTCCCTCCTTCCCTCCCTCCCTCTCTCCTTCCCTCCCTCCCTCCCTCCCTCCCTCCCTCCCTCCCTCCCTCCCTCCCTCCCTCCTTCCCTCCTTCCCTTCCTTCCTATTTTTCTCCTTTCTCCCTTCATTTAATATTTGTGTATCAGGCAAGTACTGACAAATCTGAACAATTTAGCAACATTAATACAAAGTTGGTTGAAACGAGGTCTATTCCTTAGAGAACATTACCATCTAGTGGGAGTCACCATCATAACAACAGAGGGGTGTGTGATGTTAACAAAGGGGTGACAATAGCACCCTATAAAGTGTTAGAGTTGGAGCAAAAAGAAGGGTGCCTCTACCAGCTCCATTTCCTGTCCTCACCCTGCATTAGTTACAAGGTCAGAGAACACTGGGGTTTTATTTTTAGACAAAAGAAACTCTTGAAATTGGAGCTGTTATGGATAACAAAGTTGTTGATTGAAACAGAGCAATGTCAAGGTGGTGAGATTTCTATTGAAAGGGCAGATCAAGTTGTTCAGAACATAACTCAGCATTTCCTCTTAGATCTGGACTCCAGGGACAGGGGACTGAGCAGCAAGACCCTGTGCATGGAGGGCGAGCAGATCCTGCCCGATGGCTCCCGGGTGCGACATTACGATGTGCACAGCCTGTACGGGTGGTCCCAGACCAGACCCACATACGAGTGAGTGGGCAGCAAGGGTCCTTTTCCACATTGTTGCTTGTGGCTTGTCATATATAGATCGATGCATGTTAAATGGATGAGTGTCATCATACCAGGAATGGTTTCCCAAGTGTCTATAACACCTCTGAGTTGTATTAACCAAGTAGGTTGCCAACTCACCTGTTTAAAGAGATCAGGTACTAATTCCTGCTACAATAGTAATCTTACTACAATATATAAATGCGTCAAATTAACGTGTTGTGTACCTTGAATCTATACAATGTGATATATCAAATATACATCATTAAAATCAATAAGATAAGCACTATATTCACAGTCAAGATAAGTTTACTATATTCACAGAGTTGTACAGCAGTAACTACAATCACATTTTGGAGTGTGTTCATCATCCTAAAAGGAAACCTTATACCAGTTAGCAGTCATTTCCCACCATTGTCCCCACTTCCCGAGTCCCTGTCTATCTGGATTGCTTAATCTGGACACTTCATATAAATGAAATCATACAATATAATATGTGGCCTTTTATGTTCTTTTTCAAGATTGTTTTGGTTCTCCTGGGTCCTTTGCATTTAACATGAATTTTAGGATTACCTTGTCAATTTCTGTAAAACAGAAACAGGGATGTTGGCAGGGATTGCATTCAATCTGTAGTTGTTTGGGGAGTAAAGCCATCTGAATAACATTAAGTTTCCTGATCCATTAACATGAAATGTTATTCCATTTCTTTAAATCTCACTTAATTTCTTTCACCAACGTTTTACACTTTTCAGTGTTTAAGTTTCAGGCTATTTAAAAAAAAAAAATATATATATACATTTTCTTACCCCTTTCTCTTTCTTTTCTCCTTCCAAGATTCCAATTATGGATATGTTGGTATGTTTGATGGTTTCTGAAATTCTGTCTTCTTTTTTCTTTTGACTATTCAGATTTGCTCATATCTATTGACCTATCTTCAATTTTGCTGATTCTTTCTTCTTCTAGCTCAAATCTGATGTTGAGCTCAGTCCCTCCAGTAAGTTTTTAATTTTAGTTATTGTATTTTTCAACTCCAGAATTTCTACTTGATTCCTTTTTAAATAAGTTCTGTCTCTTTATTGACATCCTCTATTTAGTGGGAAATCATTGTCATACTTTGTTACTTAGATATGCTTCTCTTTAGCTTTTTGAATATATAGTAACTAACTTAATGACTTTGTCTACTCTGCCCTGTTGTCTACTCATTTTCTGTTGGTTGCTTTGTATGTGTGAGTATATGGCATACTTTCATGGTTTCTTTTTGTGTGACTTAATATTAGATAATGCTTTGTAACGACTCTGGCATCAAATCTACCCCCTCAGGGTTTGTTGTTTTTGTTGTCACTGTTCTTGTTTGTTTCACTTATTGCTTATTTATTTAGCAAATTCTCTGTCTAATTCTACAGATTCTCTGTTCCCCTGCAGTCAGTGGCCCCTGATTTCTCTGCTACCTTCTTTTAAAAAAAATTCCTTTTCGCCCTGGCTGGTTTGGCTCAGCAGTTAGAGCATTGGCCCACAGACCAGAGAGTTCTGGGTTTGGTTCCTGCTAAGGGCACGTACCTCGGTTGCAGTTTGTCCCTGGCCCCATGGGTTGGGTGGGTGGCAGCCAGTCGATGTGCCTGTCTCACATTGATGTTTCTTTCTCTCTTCCTCCCTTTCTCCTCTCTGCTCTATCTGAAGATAAATGCAAAAATGTCCTCGGGCAAGGACAAATAAAATTAAATTAATAAATTCCTTTTCATTTTCTTAAGCCTGGCTTTCTTGGATACCCTTGGTTTGGTATAATTCTATGGTCAAATAAGTGTCAGTAGTAAATTTGTCAAAGCAAATCTTTCACTGGACGAATTTAAAAAGACCAGGAAGACTTTATTCAAGGCTGTTATAATAAGAGAGGGAGACCAGAACTCAGCTTCATGAAACAAAGATCTGAGAGTTCACAGCTGGTGTGGGGAGTTCAGAGTCCACCTGTGTTTGCTAATTGGCCTTACTCACAGGAAAAGTTAACTTACCCTACTGTCAGGACAGGAGGTAGTTTTATAAGTTGGAGCAAGGAGACCCTGCTGAAGTTCTGCTCCTGATCCCCTTATACAGACTCTGGACAGGGGCACTGTCTTCCTTGCTGATTACATTTCAGAGGGGGGTGGGGGGGAGGGCTCCCAGGTCCCTGAGACAAACATACTTGGCTTGTAAATCCAGCAAGAATCTTTTAAAAAGATTTACAGCTCAACGGGGCACAGAAAGAATTTACAGTTAAATTTTTCTTAAGTAAATGCTCTAAAAGGGAGGTCAGGGTCTGGTCACAGAGTCCAGAAGAAGTTTAGTCAAACTGAGAAAAACATTAAAGACATCTTTGTCCCCTTAAATGCCTTGCCTCGTACCTTTTACCCCTTGCCGAGGGGATACGTACGGGAAGGCACAGCTTCGTTCTTCAGGAAGTTGGTAAGACAGCCTTCCCTTTCAGCACCTGTTTGCCCAGGACTGTGAGTTCACCAGGAGTGAGACACTGGAACCTTCTCCTTTCCTGGTTCTTTCTTGGGCACGTGCAAAGCCCTGTGCATGTGCGATCTTTTAGATCCCCGGGAATATGTAGGAACTTGACAGAGTTCTCGATGGTGACGAGAGACAAGCTGTCCTCTCCATCGAGCCCTGCTGGTTTATTTTAGACTGCATGCCTGGGACCTGGTGCTTTTTCTGGTTAACATGTGGCTCAATAAACCCTTTCTTTCCGAAAAGCTTTAGCGACGAAAGGTCTTTTTATTTTTTATTTTAACAGGGGCTAATTCTCCAGCTACGCTTTTATTTGCCCCTAAACCACAGCCCGAGCACCTGTTAAAATAAAAAATAAAAGCATAGCTGGAGAATTAGCCCCTGTTGGCAGAAAGTGGTTATTGTTTTAGACATTCCCTGCGGGTGGGTTTCTTTCTCTCTGCTGAGTTGAGCTCTGAGCCTAATCAACTGGCCACGATGCCCTGGAGATGGAGATCTTCCAGGGGACTGGAACTTAGAAATAACAATTGTACTGTGCTCTGGGGATGGGGCTTTTAACAGAGCTCCAAAACAGGTTACACCTCTGGCTTTGTTGCAAGACCTGGCTTTCGGTGCCAATGAGCTAGGGAAGGGTTGGCTGGAAATAAGCCAAGTTAAAATCCCATGTAACTTACCGTCGTGCCAAGATTTAGTAGTTTCTCCTGGAGAGATGATTTTTTTTACTTCTTTCTACGTCCAGTGAATTTCTGGAGTTCTGAAATGGCTAGAGGCAGAGTTCTCCGCATCACCCACATCCATCCTTACTCTGTATCCCTGCCTGACACCAGGCCTTTATCATCTCCCACTTAGATGTGTGCACAGGTGAGCAAGGTCTCCATCCATTTTTGGATTTACTGTGATGTGAAATATTGGAAGTGACCTACATGGGTTAGTTTCCACTCCAGTAGCTGGCGTCTCTTCCGGATATCATTTACTGAATAAGTCATCTGTGTCTGTTGATTTGTGGTGCTTTGTTTAGCAACTGTTTGGACGGCACATATACTAGCATCTGTTCATAGACCTTCCCTTTTGTTCCACTGATCTTTCTCTTGCATGGTTGTTTTTATTTTCTGGCCGAGGCTGTACGCGGAACACACACCTTCAAGGAAGAAACATTTACCGATCTTTTCTGTTTGCCTCTGTGTGCAAAGTTAATTCTGCTTTTTGAGGAGTTGCACAGGAGAGTGATGATGACCAAAACAGCTCTAGTCATATGTACTTTTATGTGGATCCCAGATCTGCCTCCTTGCTCTCTAAGTGACTTCGACAAACTAACCCTTCTGACTTCAGTGTCCGAACAGTACAGGGAGGTAAACGAAACCCTCCCTGTGAGGCAGTGAGACCGGGCACATGGAAGTGACCAGTATGACACCTGGCATAGAGTAATTGTTCCCTAAATCCTTCAGACCTACAAGTCACCCCATCCCCTCCTCTGACCTCTGAGTGGACAGCTAGTTAACCAATTTATTTTATTTTATTTTCAAGAAAGGAAATCCACTTTTTAGGTGATGCTATATCTCCAGCTGTCTGGCTCTAATGTTCACCGGGACTCTCAGCATCACTTGTAAATAGCAGGTGCTTTCAGGGAGGAAGCTGTCTGGCTAAAATTGAGTCCCGCTGTGGCCTCACGCTCCGGGCTGAAGCTGTTGTCCTTAATAAAGTCCCATGGATCCATCCTCACCTTCACTTCACTTTATTGTTCCCCTCCAACCAGAGCGGTGCAGGAGGTGACGAGACAGCGCGGGGTCGTCGTCACCCGCTCCACGTTCCCCTCTTCTGGCCGCTGGGCAGGACACTGGCTGGGAGACAACACGGCGGCATGGGACCAGCTGCGGAAATCTATCATTGGTGTGTGGCTCGTCCCAGGGGCCTCCGCTGGTGGGGAGGGGACTGGGTGTGTTCCCTTCCTCTGCATTGGCTGTGTCTAATCACTCTGCATGTGGGCAGTGTAATCAACGGGTGCTGAGTTCTCTATGGGTGTGAGTTGTCATCTATACCCATCTTTGTATTTGTTTACCGTGATGGACCCAGGGCTTTCGAATGAGGTACAGAAGAGATGGGCCAAACCTACCCTCCCAAAGGGCCACTTAGTCCAACATAGTTGTATCTCTCATTGCAGGCATGATGGAGTTTAGTCTCTTCGGAATACCTTATGTAAGTCATATCGAGGTCATTACTAATAACCCAGTCAGATGTGGTGTGTATGCAACACGCAAAAGTCCCACCTCATGCCCTGACTTTGCCTCTTCTCAGACAGGAGCGGATATCTGTGGGTTCTTTAACGATGCTGAATATGAGATGTGTCTTCGCTGGATGCAGCTGGGGGCCTTTTACCCCTTTTCCAGGAACCACAACAACATCGGGACGCGGGTGAGGCAGCAGTTTGTGCCGCAGGTGTTTCGTGTCTTCAAATCACAACTTTCGTTTACTGTCAAAAGTATCATAGTTATTTGTTGAGAAAACTCATAAAAATCAATGGACCCTCCCTTTCTTACGAAAACCCACAGAGTTCAAAGACTATGCTTTGAAGTATATTTTCAAGAATATGCTTTTTCTCATCTCTCGGTGGAATTGTTGATGGTGCCCTTTGGGACTGATAAGAAAGAAGCTTCCTTTGCCTTTAAGAACAGTGAATATGTATTTTTCTCAGATCCACCCAAGATATATTAGTGCCTCATAGAAACCCATCTCTCCACATGTGCAGGGTGAACACTAGACCCGAGCAGGGGACTAAGGTGCCTGTGATAAAGTGGAGGAAGGAGACACTCTAGTTTAGTAGGTGGCGGGGGTGGGGGGTGGTAGGCTAGAAATGAAAAGAGACATGGTATGTAGCCTACCCATGAGGCCTGTGCTTTCTGATACTTTTCTGATACCGCTAGGGTAGAGTTAAAATGCGGAGACCTGTCCTCCTATGCTCCTTTATCCCCTTAGAGGCAAGATCCGGTGGCCTGGGATTCCGCCTTTGCGATGGACTCCAGGAAAGTCCTGCAGGTGCGGTACACCCTGCTGCCGTACCTCTACACCTTGATGCACAGGGCCCACGTGGAGGGCAGCACCGTCGTCCGGCCCCTCTTCCACGAGTGAGTGCAGCCTGCTCCCTGGCCACGGGTCTGGGTCTGTCGCGCGAATAACTCTCTGCCACAGTCGTGACAGCCTGAGTAGACTCTCGGTACCTTCTTTTGAAGGTTTCGAGAGGACAGCACAACGTGGGATATAGACCGCCAGTTCATGTGGGGTCCTGCCATCCTCATCAGCCCGGTGCTGGCAAACGTGAGTTTCCGTCCCAGACCACAGGCCCTCCGTTCTGGTCGTCTGTGGAACAGGGAGGGCATCTGAAAGATCATCTCGTCAGGCTCGCTACGTCTAGAATGTCTCAGGGGAATCTTTTTCTGTTTTCAAGGTCGCCATTAATGAAAACTTAACAACTTCAGTCGATTTCTTGTTTTAATGTCTTGTCACCTTGTGTCCTTAAAAAGGAGACCTTTAAAAAAAATACACACACACACACACACATACTTATATTTGTGTGTGTGTGTGTGCTTGTGTTTGAAATAACTTTCCCAGGATCTTTCTTAATGCAATTTCCCATCCTCTTAAAAGTATTAATACAATTCCCATTTTTATGTTAATTCCAAAGAATGCTAAAACTTGAAATTAAATGATTGAGCTATTCATAAGGACCTGTTGATTTTCTGTTTCAGAACACTTTTGAGATTGAAGCTTATTTTCCCAGAGCCCGTTGGTATGACTACAGCACGGTAAGAACTAACATAGTTTGTGAAGAACTAGGTTGGTCCATGCAGGTTGGAGAGGTGGCTGGAGTTTCCTCCTAACTTCCAGGCACCTATTTCATATGGCAGTAATTTTCAACCTTTCAGCCCTGCGAGGTTTCTTTAAATAAAAGTATCCATAAAAGGCCCTGCTGGCATGGCTCAGTTAGTTGGGCATCATCAATTCCTGGTCAGGGTGGGGGGCTTGCAGGAGGCAATTGATTGATGTTCTGCTCTCATGTCAATGTTTCTCCCTCTCCCTTCCTGTCTCTCTCTTAAATAATTAAAAAAAAAATCAATAATTGAAAAAAATGCATCCATAAAAGCATAACTAGGTACTATCTGATATTCATATCACATTGAGTTCTCCCCTATCCCCTGCCTCTTCTGGAGAATAAAGAGAAAAGACTACATTTTTAGAGTTTGCAGCAAAGGGGAAAATCAGAATTTTGCAGCATGTTGATGACTTTCCAACACACTTCCTTGGGAAGGAAGACTTGTTGTAAAGCGTGTGTTCATTGTAGCTGTCTGTCACCAACCCTTGCCTGCATCCTCCATTCTAGGCATCTGGCAACACATCGACAGGTGAGTGGAGAGTCCTACAGGCCCCCATTGACCACATCAACCTCCATATCAGAGGAGGCTACATCTTGCCTTGGCAAGAGGCTGCACTGAACACTCACTCCAGGTAAGAGAGAGAAGCGGTACCCGATGGCCTCACTTGGACGTAAGGAGGCAGCCTCACAGGGGCTGCCCACCTCAACTGGGACCCTGTGAATAAATAAACCAGATCACAGACAGTTTCGCTGATTTGGTTCTGGGAGTACCTTCCAAGTGGGACCTGGGTGAGCATGAGCTCATGAAGGCAGGCTTGGGAGGTCGTTTATCTATAGCTCTGTGTCAGAGGTCCCGGGCAAACATTTTCCTGGGACAGCAACACAGACCCCTTTCTATACTATTGAAAATTTGAGAAATATCAATGAGCTCTTTGATTTGTGATGGCTCTCTGACGATTGAGTACTCATTTCCGGTTCAGCTTTGCTTGACCCAGGAGAGATTATATATGTACATTTTGAATCTACTACCTTTTTCTTTGTTCTAGATGAATAATATTTTCAATAGAAGCTGCTCTTCATTGGTACAACTACAATCTAGAGAAAAATGACTCTTTTTTTTTTTTTTTCCATAGTCGACAAAATTTTATGGGCTTGATTGTTGCTTTGGACGACAACGGGAAAGCTGAAGGGCAGATGTTCTGGGATGATGGACAGAGCATTGGTGAGTTTGACTTTTCCAGGGTTCAGCGTTCAGAAAAACCACACCCTAGAAACTCGAGATATAATTGGTGTGAACTGAAAATCTATCTCATTTCTGCTACTGACAGTCAAGTAATGGTGTTGCTTGTTTTTTTTTTTTATACTAACAAAAATGGCTAAATCTAAGGTTACAAAGATTTATCCTTGTTTTTTCCCTAAGACTTTTATAGTTTAAGCTTTTATATTTAGGTCTTTGAACTATTTTGTGTTAATTTTTGTACATGGCGTGAGGTAGAGGGCTCCAACTTTGTTCCTTGCATGTGGGTATCCAGTTGCCCCGGTCTTTTTGGTGAAAAGATTATTCTTTCATCATTGAATTATTTTGGTACCATTGTTGAAAATCAATTGACTTTCAATGTGAAGGTATATATACATAATTGATGACACAGAAACAGCCTTCACATTTAAAAGACACACACACACACACACACACATATACGTATACACATATGTATGCATATATATAGTCTTTTTCATTCACTCTTATGCTAGTACTACTCTGTCTTGAGACAGTCACTTTAAAGTAAGTTTTGAGCCTTGCCGGTGTGGCTCTGTGGTTAAGCACTGACCCATGCACCAAGAAGTTGCCAGTCTGATTCCCAGTCAGGGCACATGCCCCCAGTGGGGGGCGTGCAGGAGGCGGCCAGCGATGTTCTCTCTCGTCCATGTTTCCATTTCTCTCTCCTTCTCTCTCCCTCTCTAAAATCAATAAAGAAAAAAAATTGTTAAAAAATAGACTTCCGGTCAAGATGGCAGTGTAGGTTAATGCGGTATGGTGTCCTCCCACAACCACATCAAAGTTAAAACTAAACTACAGAACAACCATCATTCAAAACCACCTGAAATCATCCTGAATGGAAGTCCTACAGCTACGGAATTAAAGCAGCAGCCACATCCAGATTGATAGGAGGGGCGGAGGCGCGAGGGCTGGTGGCAAGACGGGCTGGTCCCACACCCACCTGTGGCAGATACAAATCAGGAGGATACTTTGGCTGGGAAGGTCCTTCCTGAGGAATGAGGGGTCCCTGTCCCACACCAGGCACCCAGCTCAGGGTTCCAGTGCCAGGAAGAGAAGGCCCCATAACTTCTGGCTGGAAAAACCAGTAGGAACTAAGGCTCAGGGAAGCTGAAGCAGCTGGAGCCCCAGGCAGCTCCATAAAGGGCCCACACATGAATTTATTGGACTCACTCCCTCTAAGCTTGGAGGGGAGGCAGCTCGAGGGGCACCAGAGACATACAGGGAAGAACTGAGCTGTTTGGCACTGGAGCGAGGGCTGGAGACAGGGCTTTCTCCAGGACAAAAGTGCTATCAGAGGCCTTTGTTCCTTTGGTGAGCCCTTCCGTGGGACAGCAGACAGCCGCCATATCTGGGACTCCAGCAACCTGGCTCACACTGGTAGCCCCACCCTGGTGATTGCCTGAGGCCCCGCCCCACCCAACTTTCAGGCCCACCCAAGCTGTTGCCACTTGCTTAACCATAGGATTGGCCGGTCTTGGATCCTGCTTCAGGTTTTTCCTAAATTCTTTCAAAGGAGCAGCATCTGGTCTCAGCTAGCCCCATACCTCTCGTTAAGTAATACACAGAAACAAACACAGGGAGGCAGCCAAAATGAGGAGACAATGAAACAGGTCCCAAATGAAAGAACAGAACAAAACCCCAAGAAAAGAACTAAGCGAAATGGAGATAAGCAACCTAACAGATGCTGAGTTCAAAATACTGCTTATAAGGATGCTCAATGAGCCTAGTGAGGGCCTCAAGAGCATAAAAAAGGACCAGTCAGAAATTATGGATGCACAGTCAGAATTGGAGGAGGCATTAACTGAAATAAAGAATAATTTACACAGCTTCAATAGTAGAGTACGTAAATCCAAGAAGCAAACCATCGATTTGGAATATAAGGAAGCAAAAAACGCCCAATCAGAACAGCAAAAAGAAAAAAGAATCCCCAAAAATGAGGATAGTGTAAGGAACCTTTGGGACAACTTCAAGCATGCCAACATTCGCATCTTGGGGGTGCCAGAAGGAGAAGAGCAAGAACAAGAAATCGAAAACCTGTTTGAAACAATAATGGCAGAAAATTTTCCTAACTTGGTGAAGGAAACAGACATACAAGTCCAGGAAGCACAGAGAGTCCCAAACAAGATGAACCCCAAGAGGCCCACACCAAGACACATCATCATCAAAATGCAAAAGGTTCAAGACAAAGAGAGAATCTTAAAAGCAGCAAGAGAAAGGCAGCTAGTTACCTACAAGGGAGTTCCCATTAGGCTGTCAGCTGATTTCTCAAAAGAAACTGCAGGTCAGAAGGGAGTGGCAAGAAATATTCAGAGTGATGAAAAGCAAGAACCTACAACCAAGATTACTCTATCCTGCAAAGCTGTCATTTAGAATCGATGGCCATATAAAGACTTTCCCAGACAAGAAAAAGTTAAAGGAGTTCATCACCACCAAACCGTTATTATATGAAATGATGAAGGGTCTTTTTGAAGAAAAAGATAAAATATATGAACAAACAAAATGGCAATGAATACATATCTATCAACAATGGAATCTACAAACAAAATGAACAAGTAGAACAGAAACATTCTCATAGATACAGAGAATATTTTGTTGGTTGCCAGATGGGAGTGGGGTTGGGAGAATGGGTGAAAAAGGTGAAGGGATTAAGAAGTACAAATTCATTGCTAGACTGACAAACCTCAAAGGGAAAGGGGGTGGGGGGGGGAATAAATAAACCAAAGAACTTATAGGCATAACCAATGGACACAGACAATAGTGTGGGGAAAGGCGGGAGGGGGGGGGGGGGCGGGAGTGGGGAGGAGGGGGAAAAATGTGGAACATCTGTAATATATTTTACATTCAACAACAAAGATTTAATATATATATATATGTGTGTGTGTGTGTGTGTGTGTAATAAGTTTTGAAATCAGGAAGTAAGAATCCTCCAACTTTCTTCTTCTTTTTCAAGAAAATGCTTATTTTTTAAACAGCAGATTTCCTCAACCTGAATAGTATTGACATTTTAAGCTAGATAATTCCTTGTGGCTGGAGGTGTCTGGGCTATTACTTATAAAATATTTAGCAGTATCCCTACCCTCTACCCACAAGTTGCCAAAAGTACTCCACTCAACCCTGAGATGCAACAACCAAATGTCTCTTCCTATTACCACATGATCCTCCAGCAAAATGGTTGCTGGTTGAAACCAGTGTGTGATGGGAATCTAGAGTCTTTTTGTACAACCTGAGCTGATTAGGACCCGATGATTGATGTCATGGTGGGTTAATAACACCACAGTTAAGGTGAAAAATCAGCCCCCTATGGGCAATATATTTCAAAAATGTAAGAGAAAAACCAATTTTCTATAAAATTGTAGGTTTCAACGACAAGTATGTTTCAGCCTCAAGGTTAAAAATCAATAGTCCCTAAAAGTTCTAAACTCTTAAACTTCTATAGAGAAGCTCTTTGCTTCACCAAACAGACTTATAAATTCAAAGTTAAAGTACCAAGATGCAGTATACGTTGCGTTGAAATTTTCTGTTAGCAGGTTTGTAACTATTCGTCAAGCTTTTCCTTACTTACATAAGGAGATTTAATAGGTAGTTCAAAGATCATCTTAAATCACCCATATTAACAATCCCATTGTTTAAAAATGTTTTGAAACTGCCAAAAGAGGTTATAACATTTGCATAGGTTACATTTTCTAGCCAAGACTAAATTTAAAATGGGGTTTTATAATTGTTTGTTTCCATAAGAGTGGAGGTAATTTAGAAAACAAAGAAGAGGAATTTGTAGGTTCAGGGAGAGAATATGTTGCAATAATGGTAAGAAATGGAATGTTGACCAGGGCCAAGACAAGAACATGATATAAAACTGACTTTTAAGAAATAGGAGGTATGCCCTGGCTGGTTTGGCTCAGCGGTTAGAGCGTCGGCCTGCGGTCCTGAGAGACCTGTGTTCGGTTCCCGCTAGGGGCGCGTACCTCGGTTGCAGTTTGTCCCCAGCCCTGGTCGGTCGTGCGGGTGGCAGCCACTAGATGTGTTCCTTTCACGTCGATGTTTCTCTCTCTCTCTGTTCCTCTCTCTTCCTCCCACTCTACCTGAACAAAAAAATGGGAAGGTGTCCTCGGGTGAGGATAAAAAAAAAAAAAAGAAATAGGAGGTATTGACGCCACGTGATGAGAATGAGTATAGTAGACATTAGCTGGGAAGTATTTCAAGGAGATGTGTGGGCAAGAGAACTAAAAACCCCGAACATCACAAAGAGAGCAATTAGATTTAACATACCATGTCATTGGTGACTTTGAAAGGATCCAATTCAATGAAAAAAGGAAACAGGAGCTGAAGTGTAGGAGATGTGGGATTGAATTATGACTTCACAAGCAGGGCCTCTCTTTTCTGAGACACGTGGCACTAGAAAGGAGATATGGTAGCTTGATACAGAGAGAATCCAGGCAAGGATTCATCAGAATGGAGTGCTCTAGAGTGTATCGGAGCTTGGAGGAGCAGGGAGCTTGTGGGGAAGACCTGATGGAGTAAGTTCTGGAGAGGCAGCAGGGCTTGGGATGTAGAATGCTGTGGAAGGGGGAGCTAAGAATAGAGACAGAATAGTAAGGATGAAGATGACGATGACTTCGATGATGATATCGAATACCACACTTTGGGCACTCATTGTGCATAAGCAGCAGGTTATGTACTTTCTTGCCATGAGCTATCCTCTTTTTAATCTCCATTTTATGGGTGATATAAAATGTTAAGTGACTTGCCTGAGTTTGTGTAACTACTAAGTACAAGAGTGAAGATTTGAATCCATGTCAATCTGACTTGAGAGCCTGAATCCCTAACTACCCTCCTCTGCTTTGAGCCTGTATCATCACAAGGTAAACTGCCATGGCTCTGTGCTTGCTATGATGGCACAGAAACAACCAATCAGTAGCCTTCACCTTTCCTACCTATGGCAGAAGACCATAGTTCAACCCAGGTTTTCTGGTCTTGGCAACCTCCTGACCCTTACCTCAAAACACTCTTCCATATGCACATCCACACACTAACCTGGAGTGAAATATTCCCTCAGCCCCTATCTTTAGTGCTCCTCAGAGAAGTCAGGGTTATCCTGATCGGTAACTGGGATCCCATTCAGACATTTTCTAACCATGAAAGATTATCTGCTGCAGTTGAAGTAATGAGTAGTTCCTTATTCTTTTCTCTTGCTTGCAGATACCTATGAAAATGGAGACTATTTTTTGGCAAACTTTATAGCAGCTCAGGTAAGACTTTTTAAATGGAATTTTATAAATCCTCTTCCAGTTAACTACAGATTAAACATCAACCATTAACTGTATAAATATAATAGCCTACATCTTAATAGGAAGACCTTCCTGCCTTTACAAATCAGGTCTATTGACATTAAAATAAGGAATAAATAGTCCTTATGTTGACAATTATATCACGATATAAAAAGAAACTTGTAATTCATATAATGCTGGGGGTGAAAATAAGTCCTTAAATGTATAGCATTTTCTGGGATTGAGACAGCACTTTCTGGCTGGTAAAATTTTGAAAGATAAATGCTACATTAGCTATCAGTCCGCAACAATGGTGCATAACAAACAACCCCAAAACTTAAGCAGCATGTAACAATAAATACCTATTTAGCTAATGAGTCTGCAGTGTTCAGTTGATCTGGGCTGGACTTGGCTGATCTTGGCTGGCTCACTTATATCTGTAATCACTTGTGGGACTGTTAGGCTGCTTGATGATCCTGGCTGTACTCATTCACATATCTAGGGGTCATCTGGCTCTTGGGTGATCTAAGATGGCCTTATGGGGAAGTCTGGGCATGACATTTTTATTATAAAAAAGTGGAAAAACAGAAGTGGAAATGCCTGAGTACTTCTTAAAATCTCCATTTGTGTCAAGTTGACTAATGTCCCATTAATAAGGCAAAGTCACATGGCCAAGCCCAGACACAAAGGTGGGATAGAGTGCCCCACCCAGCACCAGAGCAGAGCGGGAAGGCATTGAAGACTTACGTGGAAATGGGTATAGATAAGGAGGGGTGAATAATTGGAGACAGTGAATCAATCTATCTACCATGCATGTTTAGAGATTACATGGATAACCTACTTAGAGTAGGAAGACCATTTTATGTCAAACCTGAAATCTACTTCTGTAATTTTTTCCTATTGATTTGAACTATGGAATAGTATAACACAAACCTATTGTGTCTTTAAAATTTTTTTCTTTATTGATTTTAGAGGGGGGAGGAGAGGGAGAGAGAGATAGAAACATCAATGAGAGAGAACATTGATTGGTGGCCTCCTGCATGCCCCCCACTGGGGATCAGGCCCACAACCTGAGCACGTGCCCTGACAGGGAATCAAACTGATGACCTCTTGGTGCATAGGTCGATGCTCAGCCACTGAGCCACTGAGCCACACCAGCGACGCTATTGTATCTTTTGTATATAACAGTGCTTCGAGTATTTGATGATATCTGTCATCTGTCTTTTCTGTCCTTTCTTCTTGGAATTATACCCTCCAGGCTAACTTCCTCTGTTTTTGCTTAAACTGTTTTTCAGATCTGATTATTCTGTTTGGACTATGATTAGTATAGATTTCTCTTAAAGCATGGTACCCAGGATTGAGAGAATATCTTAGAGCTGCACTATGCAATATGATAGCCACAATAATATTTGGTATCATCAAATTTATTGTAGCCAGTACTCAGAATGTATGTCTTCATGAAGTGTTTAAGAATAAACCAGCAAACCAGTACAACAATAGTAATTTAAGGCTTTTTAACATTTGGAATATCATCAAGCAAGAGATGTATTATGTATTTTTCTCTTTATACATTCTTTATAGAACACATTGCAAATCAAGACCATACACAATAAGTATTTGAGTGACTCAAATCCACTGAAAGTTGGATATATTAAAATCTGGGGGATCCGTTCTACTTATGTGACGCAAGTCAGTATCACCTATGACAACCAGCAAGTCATGGCAACAAATTTCGAGAGTAACCCTTACAATCAGGTATGTCTCAAAAGAATGTTGTTATATCACAAGTTAATTCTATTCTGCAATGAAAATAACCTTATTATTATCATTGTTGTACTTACATTTGAAAGGTTATAGGTACATGAAGTAGATATGGTCCTGAAAAGTTTTGAGTGTTGAATTATATTGTGAAATATAAAATGTTAGTGGTCCTCCCCAGTGTAGTCCAGGGAGCAATGATCAATGGTGTGATGAAATCCTTTCGAGGTGTTTCCCAAAGAAACAATGCTATTTGTTAAGGTTGGTCTCCCAGGCTAGTGTAACAAAAATTGTGTCTGTGGCAGAGGCTCAAACAAAGGGAAGAGTTATCTCATAAAATTGTTGTTGGAGATTTCTCCCTTTCTTCCTGAAATTACTCATATCCCTGGTCAAAGCAATAGACCTTATAAGTTGGTAAGTAAACTGCGGTAATCATAAAAATGAATCTATCCTGCCTGTGATATGAAATAATTATTTGCTTTAATGGCCACAGCCAACTAATTGAAGACCAATTACAAGTAGAGTTATCAAGAACAGCAGCAGAGGAAAAAGTACCCCACTTTTGAACACCAGGTCTCTCATAATATGGATTCAGTAACTCGTAAGGGGTGGTTTAGAAAAGTAAAAATGGATACATAGTTTCTGCTTTCTGAAAGGTAAAAAGAGTGCCCTGCTGGTATTTGAATTTTGGGTAATGACCCTATGATCATTCAAACAAATTCTCTCACTCTAGTCTCTCTCTTTTTTTAAATTAACTTTTTTAAGTTACTGAGAACTAATTTTTTAAATCGTTTTTTACTTTCAGCTACAGTTGACATAAATTATTATATTAGTTTCAGGTGTACACCCCAGTGAGTAGATATTGCATAACTTAATAAGTGATCATTCCAATAAATTTTATACCTATCTGACCATCATATATAGTTATTAGAATATTATTGACTATCGGTTAGCTGGTGTGGCTCAGTGATTGACCATCGACCCATGCACCATGAGATCACTTGTTTGATTCCAGTCAGGGCACATGCCCAGGTTGTGGGCCAAATCTCCAGTGGTGGGCATGCAGGAGGCGGCCAATCGATGTTCTTTCTCATCGATGGTTCTATCTCTCTCTCCCTCTCCCTTCCTCATGCTCTAAAATCAGTAAACAATAAAAATAAAGCCCTGGATGGTTTTGCTCAGTGATTAGAGTATCAGCCTGTGGACCAATGAGTCATGGGTTCAATTCTGGTACCTCAGTTGCTGTTTGTCCCTGGCCCTGGTTGGGGTCGTGTGGGAGGCAGCCAGTGGATGTGGTCCTCTCACATCTATGTTTTTTTTCTCTCTTTTTCTCTCCCTCCCTCTTACTCTATCTGAAGAAAAATGAAAAATATCCTTGAGGGAGGATTAAAAAATAAATAAATAAAATAAAATCCTAAAAAAAAAAAAAAAAAGAATATTATTGACTATATTCCCTCTGCTGCACTTACCATCATTTGTCATTTAGTTCTTTACTCAAAAACATTTTTCCTGAACTATTGAATTCAAAACCACCCTTTGCAAGTAAATACTTGCAGCTAAGATTGATACAGAAGATCTTTGAACACTTCCTTTTGGGGACAGTTGAACAGTTCATAGCGTATCAGATGCCCATTTGTTTTGTGCTGGTTTCAACCAACCAATACCCAAGGTTGTGGCCAGACCAGCTCTTGTGGTTCTTATCATGAATAAAAGGTGTTCTTCAGCAATAACCATCAGGAAACTTTGCAAAGATACAGGCTTTTAATGTACAAGTCCTGGAGATTTCACAGCTGCTGGAGCCTCACCAGAAGGTCCTGGGCAGAGAGTGAGCATGTGCAAGAGCCTAGGGTTCAGCTTTCTGGGTGGGGTGGGAGGTGAGGGCCTAGGGCTTCCAGGGCTCCCTCACTCTTTATTGGTGAATTTCAAGCATAAGAAGAGAAAACAGAAAGTGGCCCAAATGGTCAGTTATTAAAATCAACCAAGATCTCAAACCAAGGAGCCTCAGTGGGCTGGAAGTGGATGCTTCTTTGAAACGAACAGATATGCCCTGCTGGTTTGGCTCAGCAGTTAGAGCACCAGCCCACAGACCAAAGAGCTGTGGGTTCGATGCCAGTCAAGGGCACACATATCATTGTTGCAGTTCAGTCACTGGCCCTGTTCGGGGTCGTGCAGGAGGCAACCAATTGATGTGTCTCTCTCCCATTGATATTTCTCTCTCTCTCTCTCTCTCTGTCTACCCCCATCCTGCTCCCCACACTCTATCTGAAGATAAATGGAAAAATATCCTCCAGTGAGGATTAGTAATAAAAAACAAAAGCAGAAAGAAAGAAATGGAAAGATCTGGCAATCGAACTGTAAGTCAGGTACTTGCATTACAAAAACTAAAAGAAAAGAAAAAGTAACCCCAATAGCAGGGTTTACTCTACACGACTATGTGCCAGGCAGTATCGAGAACGGTGAGACCAGGAAACCAGCCTACCCTCAGGAAGGTTAAAATCTAGTGGCAAAACTGAAATGTTTACAAACATTAGGGTTTTGTTGTTGTTAATCCTCACCTGAGAATATTTTTTCCGTTGATTTTTAGAGAGAGTGGAAGGGAAGGAGGGAGAGGGAGAGAGACATAGAGAAACATTGATGTGAGAAAGACAAATCGATTGGTTGCCTCTTGCACATGCCCCAACTGGGCTGGGGTCACACCTACAGGGTAGGGTCAAACCTGCAACCCAGGAACATGCCCTTGACCGGGAATTGAACCCACCACTCTTTGGTCCTCAGGCCAACGCTCTAACCGCTGAAACAAACTGGCCAGGGCATGAGCATTAGTTTTAATCAAAGATGCAAATTCTTGTGAACAGTGTGGTTCTGACTAAATGAAGTAGAAAGAAACATTTTCAGCACAGAAATTATGACCGAGGCACATCTCTCCATATTTATCTGTCTGGAATCAGTGTAACCTGAAAAGAAACCTGTTACTCTCTGGCAAAAAAATGAATACATCATTATGATGTGTTGTTGTTAAAAGAGATGTTTAAGAAGTTCTAAAATACCAGTGTATGTCTTCTTTTCTGGCAGACACTAAGTATTCAATTGACGGACATGAAGATCAGGATGGAACTCTTAACTGAGGTCACTTGGAGTCACCATGGTCCCGATTTTTCTACTAGTACTGCCTTTCCCACCAGAACCCCCATTTTCCCAACAAGCACTGCTGATGTGACAGCTGATACTAATGCTCCTAATACAACCACCCCTGTCCCTGCAAATACTACTGCTGCTACCGCTAGTACTGCCTTTCCCACCACAACCAGTATTTTCCCAACAGGTACTATTACTGTAACACCTGGTACTACTGCTCCTAATACATCTACTCCTGTCCCTGGAAATACTACTACTACTACCAATAGTACTGCCTTTCCCACCACAACCACTACTTTCCCAACAGGTACTATTACTGTAACACCTGGTACTACTGCTCCTAATACATCTACTCCTGTCCCTGGAAATACTACTACTACTACCAATAGTACTGCCTTTCCCACCACAACCACTACTTTCCCGACAGGTACTATTACTGTAACACCTGGTACTACTGCTCCTAATACATCTACTCCTGTCCCTGGAAATACTACTACTACTACCAATAGTACTGCCTTTCCCACCACAACCACTACTTTCCCGACAGGTACTATTACTGTGACACCTGGTACTATTGCTCCTAATACAACCACTCCTGTCCCTGGAAATACTACTGCTGCTACCACTAGTACCATCTGGACCACCACAAATAGTACTTTCCCAACTAGTACTATTCACGTGACACCTAGTACTATTGCTCCTAATACAACCACTCCTGTCCCTGGAAATACTACTGCTGCTACCACTAGTACCATCTGGACCACCACAAATAGTACTTTCCCAACTAGTACTATTCACGTGACACCTAGTACTATTGCTCCTAATACAACCACTCCTGTCCCTGGAAATACTACTGCTGCTACCACTAGTACCATCTGGACCACCACAAATAGTACTTTCCCAACTAGTACTATTCACGTGACACCTAGTACTATTGCTCCTAATACAACCACTCCTGTCCCTGGAAATACTACTGCTGCTACCGCTAGTACTGCCTTTCCCACCACAACCAGTATTTTCCCAACAGGTACTATTACTGTAACACCTGGTACTACTGCTCCTAATATATCTACTCCTGTCCCTGGAAATACTACTACTGCTACCAATAGTACTGTCTTTCCCACCACAACCACTACTTTCCCAACAGGTACTATTACTGTAACACCTGGTACTACTGCTCCTAATACATCTACTCCTGTCCCTGGAAATACTACTACTACTACCAATAGTACTGCCTTTCCCACCACAACCACTACTTTCCCGACAGGTACTATTACTGTGACACCTGGTCCTACTGCTCCTAATACATCTACTCCTGTCCCTGGAAATACTACTACTGCTACCGCTAGTACTGCCTTTCCCACCACAACCACTATTTTCCCAACAGGTACTATTACTGTAACACCTGGTACTACTGCTCCTAATACATCTACTCCTGTCCCTGGAAATACTACTACTACTACCAATAGTACTGCCTTTCCCACCACAACCACTATTTTCCCAACAGGTACTATTACTGTAACACCTGGTACTACTGCTCCTAATACATCTACTCCTGTCCCTGGAAATACTACTACTGCTACCAATAGTACTGCCTTTCCCACCACAACCACTACTTTCCCAACAGGTACTATTACTGTGACACCTGGTCCTACTGCTCCTAATACATCTACTCCTGTCCCTGGAAATACTACTACTGCTACCGCTAGTACTGCCTTTCCCACCACAACCAGTATTTTCCCAACAGGTACTATTACTGTAACACCTGGTACTACTGCTCCTAATACATCTACTCCTGTCTCTGGAAATACTACTACTGCTACCGCTAGTACTGCCTTTCCCACCACAACCACTATTTTCCCAACAGGTACTATTACTGTAACACCTGGTACTACTGCTCCTAATACATCTACTCCTGTCCCTGGAAATACTACTACTGCTACCAATAGTACTGTCTTTCCCACCACAACCACTACTTTCCCGACAGGTACTATTACTGTGACACCTGGTACTACTGCTCCTAATACAACCACTCCTGTCCCTGGAAATACTACTACTGCTACCGCTAGTACTGCCTTTCCCACCACAACCACTACTTTCCCAACAGGTACTATTACTGTGACACCTGGTCCTACTGCTCCTAATACAACCACTCCTGTCCCTGGAAATATCACTACTGCTACCAATAGTACTGCCTTTCCCACCACAACCAGTACTTTCCCAACAGGTACTATTACCATGACACCTGGTCCTACTGCTCCTAATACATCTACTCCTGTCCCTGGAAATACTACTACTGCTACCACTAGTACTGCCTTTCCCACCACAACCACTACTTTCCCAACAGGTACTATTACTGTGACACCTGGTCCTACTGCTCCTAATACATCTACTCCTGTCCCTGGAAATATCACTACTGCTACCACTAGTACTGCCTTTCCCACCACAACTAGTACTTTCCCGACAGGTACTATTACTGTGACACCTGGTCCTACTGCTCCTAATACATCTATTCCTGTCCCTGGAAATACTACTGCTGCTACCACTAGTACTGCCTTTCCCACCACAACCACTACTTTCCCAACAGGTACTATTACTGTGACATCTGGTACTACTGCTCCTAATACAACCACTCCTGTCCCTGGAAATACTACTAGCTCCCACTAGTACTACCTTTCTAACCCCAACCAGTAGTTTCCCAACAAGTACTATTACTGTGACACCTGATACTATTGTTCCTAATACAACCACTCCTGTCTCTGCAAATACTACTGCTGCTACCACTAGTACTGCCTTTCCCACCACAACCACTACTTTCCCAATAAGCACTACTGATACTACCACTGGTACTACTGGTCTTATTAGCACCGCTCTTTCCCCAATAGATACTGATCCTACTAATGCTAATCATACCGTTCCAATTACAACTATTCATTCTCTTATAAATACTGTGACAGATACTACTCGCATGGATTCAGACACATTAGCATCTGCTCTTCTAGATACAGCCATTCATCACCTTGTAACAACAATTTCTATAGCCAGTGTTTTACCTATTATTGCAACTAATGCTACTGCAGCTAATACAAATGTTACCTTATATGCTTCCAATACTATCATTCCTGATAGAACACCAGCGGATGCTTCTTCTATAGCAAATACCACAGATACTCCTCTAGTTCCCTGATTACTATAAGGCAGGATAACTACTGCAGACATCTCTTTAATCAACTATTACAGATATAGAAAATCAATGAACAGATTCATGATCTTATGCTACCTAATTTTTCACAAACATTAGCATTAGTTTTTGCAGATATGGCTACTGAAAACACTGTAGACACTGAAGAAATATCTCAAGATGTATGTATTCAGTACTTTGTAGCTACTTCTTTTGGAACCAAAATACATAGCAACTGTTTTTAAAATTATAACTGGTATAGTCCCATCAATTAAGCTACAGATAATTTACTATCTCTTGCTACAGACTTCACAGATGATTTTGGTATCTTGGATAATACCACATTAACCTCTATAAATACTATTGCTTTAGATGTAGTCATTGAAATAACCCGACTTGTTCTTGGGTTACAGGACAAATATTGTAACTGATTGCACTGGTGGTACCTGGCAGTCCAATAACTGCTATGGCAATAGTTATTAATATTACAATGAGAACTGCTAATATTTAATTAGCAATTCTAAAAGTCACACTTTATTTTTCTATGGACTTTCCCATATACCGTGCCTACCCATGTAGTAATTTGCTATTACACAAACTGAAAGTATTATTGCTTCTAAAGGGATCCCATCTGTAGCTATACATATGAAAAAGGCTACTGTTGTAGAACTATACACTTTGACTTCAGTAACTAAAATAATTAAACTTGGAATATTATAGGTTATTTTTACTATAATAGAAAATAAAAATGATATTATTGATGTTAAAAACATAACTTCCCAAACGTTGCAACCATTACTTTCACAGGTACTACTGATAAAGTTACTACAGATTTTATAAGTATTTGTATTCATAGACATTAAAAGTACTTCCAAGAAATTGCAATTAATTTTATTTATGAGATAATGTTACCACTAATGGCTGAGTTCATGTACAAGGATCTAACTCTTCCATAGACCAGAAAATCACCCAGGCAGAGATGAGTATGTAAAGATTTGGCATAAGGGAGACCGTCTCTGCCCTGGTATCAGAGTTCACAATCTCATTTGCTTTTTATTTTATTCACCAGATTTTCTTTTATTGTTTTACTGTCTAGACTCTCCTTCACAGAGTTAGGACTTCTACCATGTTCTTGGTCTTTCATATTCAAATTCACTATTTTTTTTCTTTGATCTATTACTTTCTTCTGTCACTCCGACCCCTTGAATAGACTCATAGTTGAGTGCTATTGAAGGCTGAACTCTAGTACAATAATTTCAAAATGTAGTTTGGGGACTCAAAAGTCTTCCTGGGGTCCACAAGATCAAATCTATTTTCATAACATTAGGCTATTATTTGTCTTTTCCACTCTTGTTCTCTCAGTCGCATTTTCTAGAGACTCTGTGCTGTGTGGTGTCACCACAGATGAATACAGAGATAGATACAAGAACCCAGCTGTCTTCTCTTAAACCAGACCCTGAGCAGATTTATAAAATACAAAATTATGTCATTCTTTTCACCCATTTTTTTTTTGCTTTTGAAAATATAGTTGTTTTTCATAAACTGTATTATTTATGTCAACATCAAATTGATATATTGTTATTTTTAATGAATGAAAAATAAATATTTTACAAAATATTATACAAACGAGTCCATTTTCATTTCTAACGCAGTCAATGTGAGTAGATATAACCCACCTAAACAAAATACATGGTCTTCATTAAACTTGAGTGTAAAGGGGTCCCAGACCAGGGAATTTGGGGATCACTTCCCTAGGGCAACAATATACAAGTTTCACTCTTAGGATGTACTGTGAACTTTCCCAGCATGGAGGACCTCCAGTACATGTGGCTCAATGTTCTTGTGATACATGTATGTCTACCATCTACTACGAACACATCTGCACAACTTTCTGACCCGCTTCATGGTCGTGCTATTGTCTGGCTGGCTTGGTGGTGTTCCACATGGGGGCACAGATCATCAGTTAGTTGCATTTGCCTTTTGGAATCTACCCATAAGCAACAGTCCTCTGAACAAAGTTGATAGACCTTATACCAGAGTGTATAGGCCTCTTAACATGACCTTCCAAATTGAAACAAAACGAAGCAAATACTAAACTGTTCCAGTGGACGTGATCGTAGACTCCCTTGCTTGTAGCTTTCCTGAGGGAATCCCCAGTTCACTTGTCTTGTTGGCATCACAAACCCTGACACAGGACGATGTGTTCTGGGTCCGAAGGCACATGGGACCCTGAAGCCTGCCCTACACCAGGGCAGACTAGTTGGCTGGAGGCTTCACATAAAACACTTTCAAGTTTGGAGAACAGGAATTTTTCCAAATAACCATAATTCTGTAGTTACTGAAATTCAATCCTTTGTGTATAGAAATTAAAATTGACAGCAATTAAAGCATGGGAATTTTTTTTTTAATTCTCACCCAAGGATATTTTTTCCATTGATTTTTAGAGAAAGTGGAAGGGAGGGAGGAGAGAGAGAGAAGGGAGAGAGAGAGAGGAGAAACACCAGTGTGAGAGAGACACGTTGATTGGTTGCCTCCTGCACACACCCCAACTGGGGCCAGGGATCAAACTTGCACCCAGGTACCATGCCCTTGACCAGGAATCGAACCTGCGACCCATTGGTACACAGACCAATGCTCTAACCACTAAACAATGCTGGCCAAAGTTCAAGCATAGGATTTTGAACGATAAGCACTCCTGAAAAACAAATGAACAAGCCAAAAACAGAACCACGAAAAGCTGGACTTTACTTCAGATGTTTGAAGACATTGAGGATTGAAACTCAAAGTCTGTGCACAAGATATGGTCCTGGAACCAGGCAGAATGGAGAGGGAAGAGGTAGAATCAGGTGTCAGCGTTCTGCTCTGGCTCCTGAACTCTGCTGGCTCCTGGGCTTCCTCAGACCCTAAGATGTGCAGGTGACTCCATGGGACCAGTTCTGAGAGCATCATCTTCTACCAGGTTGGCGCAGGGGGTATTGCTTCAGGTGGACACTCCTTTCCTTTTCTTTCCTTATCTCAATTTGCTCATCTGTAGGATGGAGTGAACACCAGGTCTGCAATGTTCATAGAAATACACTTGCAGTCTGCAAAATCTATAATCATAATAAACTGCAAGGTTTATTATTTATCACTATTATGTAATTCCCTGGGTATTCTTATGTGTGTTTAAATTTTTTCTTCTTCTCCCCCCTGTCTTTCCTGATAGCAGAGCAGATTCTCCGTAGTGCTGGTCCTTTATGATGAGACTGCTCTGAGTCTGTTTTGCAAACTGAAGTTTTATTAAGAACTGCTTTCCAGAGCTATCTGTAGTCTGTCTCAAGCTGTGCTCCTGGGAAAGGAGTTGTTTTTGTTTTGTTTTGAGCTGAAACAAAATGTTTCACTACAAAATTAAATGCCCATCTTTGCTCCTTTACAAAATAACTAAGTTAGTGGAATTTTGTTATTTTTAAAGCTTTTTATACTTGCTGCTATTCATAATTGCCTTCTAGAGAGCTCCAGCCAAGAACAAAATGAACAAATAACAGAGAAAAAAAACTTTTGAAATAGTCAGTAAAATTCATATTGAAACACACATGTTACAGTCACACCGTGGTGAAGGGGGTGTAAGACAAGATGTGTTGGTACTGTGTGGGGAGGAGCGAGGAGCAGGTGTTTTGTAGCTGGATGTGTTTTGATGGCATTTGGTGATGGGAAAACCTCAGAGAAGTTGACCTCAACCCAAGTAGGATGGCTCATCTGAGCACAAGATGCCTAAAGATCTTTGGGAAACTACCCCAGGCTAAAAGTTGTATCATATGATAATTACAAGAGTAATATAAGGTATACTACTTTCACATTAGACTGGAGGATATAGTTTTCTTCCTGACAAGTTATAATTTATGATCGTAATGATTCCTATGACCTCCATGAAGATTTGCACTTCTAATTCCAGCTGGAGAAATAATATTTGGTCTTGTATTGAATTATTTAAATAGTTGATTGATCAGAGAGAATGTTGGTAACGTCGATGACAGACTGTGTTATGGAGGCAACAGAAGTTTATTTCCCAGATAAAAAGCACGCTCGAATGGGAACAGACTTTCGAGCCGCTGCAGCTTAGAATTTCCAGCTCATAAAAAAACTTTCCTCTAAACCACATCTGTCTAATGCTCACTGACACCCACAACTTCCATCAGAAGTTTGACTCTTGAACTGTTGGGCAGTATTCACTTTTCAACCATTTGGTTCCGATACAGAGATAAGTTTGCCTTCTCACCAGTCTACTAATGCAGTTGGCTTTTTCACCTTAAACCATCTATCTGCTAGCCTTTCACCTTTTCGATGGTGGCTACTATTTCCTACTAATCAGGATCTCTAGTTTGTTGTTGTTGTTTTTAAAGGCCTGTTGACTTCTAATCAATGTAGCTATTTAAATAAAATAGCTATGGAAAGAATTGTCTATAAATCTAGTGATTGGCAGCTCTCAGAAGTGCATCCCATGGCTCCCTTGTCCTGTCTGACAGCTGAGATGAACCCAAGGGTATGTTATACTGTAGCATGCAGACTAGAGGCTCTCTGCTCAGGGTGGTCAAAAACTATTGCTGGGAAAACTTTTCTAAAAGGAAAGCCGCCATTTTCCTTGAACAACAGGGATGCCCCTAAGTGAACACAGACCATCCTCTGGTTTTAGGGGAGCCTCGTTTTCCCCGTAATAATGAACTTTGAAAAACCTCTTGAATTTAAAGATAGCCAGTCCCTTGCCCAGCCAGTGTGGCTCTGTGGTTGAGCGTCGACCCATGCACCAAGAGGTCACTGGTTCGATTCCTGGTCAGGGAAGATGCCCAGGTTGTGGGCCAAATCTCTAGTGGGGGCGGGCATGCAAGAGGCAACCAGGCAATGGTCTCTCTCATTGATTTTTTTCTATCTCTCTCTCTCTAAAATCAATTAAAAATATTAAAAATAAATAAATAAGGATACCAAGTTCTTCTGCTTGTACGTCATAAGGCCCCACAGTGACCCCAAACTCT